TTGCCTGATTGTTCTGGCTAGAACTTCCAATTTTGTATTGAATAGGAGTGGTGACAGAGGGCATCCTTGTCTTGTGCCAGATTTCCAAAAGAATGCTTCCTGTTTTTGCCCATTCAGTATGATATTGGCTGTGGGTTTGCCATAAATAGCTTTTATTATTTTGTGATATGTTCCATCGATACCTAGTTTATTGAGGGTTTTTAGCATAAAGGGCTGTTGAATTTTGTCGAAGGCCTTCTTCGCATCTATTGAAACAATCATGTGGTGTTTGTCTTTGGTTCTGTTTATTTGATGGATTATGTTTATAGACTTGCATATGTCGAACCAGCCTTGCATCCCTGGGATGAAGCCTACTTGATTGTGATGAATAAACTTTTTGATGTGCTGTTGCATTCTGTTTGTCAGTATTTTATTGAAGATTTTTGCATCGATGTTCATCATGGATATTGGCCTGAAGTTTTCTATTTTAGTTGTATCTCTGCCCAGTTTTGGTGTTAGGACGATGTCGGTCTCATAAAATGAGTTGAGGAGAATTACCTCTTTTTGTATTGTTTGGAATAGTTTCAGAAGGAATAGTGCCAGCTCCTCTTTGTACATCTGGTAGAATTCAGCTATAAACCTGTCTGGACCTGGGCTTTTCTTGGTTTGATAGGCTATTAATAGCTGCCTCAACTTCAGTCCTTGTTATTGTTCTATTCAGGGTCTCAACTTCCTCCTGGGTTAGTCTTGGGAGGATGCAAGTGTCCAGGAATTTATCCATTTCTTCCAGATTTACTGGTTTGTGTGCATAAAGTTGTTTGTAGTAATCTCTGATGGTAGCTTGTATTTCTGTAAAATTGGTGATGATGTCCCCTTTGTCATTTTTTATTGCATCTATTTGATTCCTCTCTCTCTTCTTTATTAGTCTGGCTAGTGATCTATCTATTTTGTTGATCTTTTCAAAAAACCAGCTCCTGGATTTGTTGATTATTTTGAAGGGTTTTTTATGTCTCTATCTCCTTCAGTTCTGCTCTGATCTTATTTCTTGCCTTCTGCTAGCTTTTGAGTTTTTTTGTTCTTGCTCCTCTAACTCTTTCAATTTTGATTACAGGGTGTTGATTTTAGACCTTTCCTTGCTCCTCATGTGGGCATGTATTGTTATGAAGTTCCCTCTAGACACTGCTTTAAATGTGTCCCAGAGATTCTGGTATGTCGTGTCTTCATTCTCGCTTTATTTGAAGACAGAACATCTTTATTTCTGTCTTCATTTCATTGTTTATCCAGTTGGCATTCAGGAGCCAGTTGTTCATCTTCCGTGAAGTTTTTCGGTTTTCAGTTTGTTTCTTAATCCTGAGTTCTAATTTGCTTGCACTGTGGTCTGAGAGACTGTTATGATTTCTGTTCTTCTGCATTTGCCAAGGAGTGATTTACTTCCAATTACGTGGTTGATTTTAGAGTAAGTGCAATGTGGTGCTGAGAAGAATGTATATTCTGTGGATTTGGGGTTGAGAGTTCTGTAAATGTCTATTAAGTTCACCTGGTCCAGATCTATGTTCAAGTCCTGGATTTCCTTGTTGATTTTCTGTCTAGTTGATCTGCCCAATATTGACAGTGGAGTGTTAGACTCCTGCACAATAATAGTGGGAGACTAAGTCTCTTTGTAGGTTGTTAAGGACTTGCTTTATGTATCTGGGTGCTCCTGTATTGGGTGCATATGTATTTAGGATAGTTGTTCTTGTTTTATTATCTTTTTACTATTATGTAATGTCTTTCTTTGTCTCTTGATCTTTGTTGGTTTGAAGTCCATTTTATCAGAGACTAGGATTGCCACCCCTGCTTTTTTTTTGCTCTCCATTTGTTTGGGAAATCTTCTTCCATCCCTTTATTTTGAGTCTGTGTGTCTGTGCACATGAGATGGGTCTCCTGAATACAGCACATGACGGTTCTTGGCTTTTTATCCAATTTGCCAGTCTGTGTCTTTTGACTGGGGCATTTAGTCTATTTACATTTAATGTTAATATTGATATGTGTGTTCAGTGCTTCCCTCAGGAGCTCTGGTAGGGCAGGTCTGGTAGTGACAAAATCTCTCAGCAATTGCTTGTCTGTAAAGGATTTTATTTCTTCATCACTTATGAAGCTCAGTTTGGCTGGATATGAGATTCTGGGTTGAAAGTTCTTTTCTTTAAGATTGTTGAATACTGGCCCCCACTCTCTTCTGGCTTGCAGGGTTTCTGCCGAGAGATCTGCTGTGAATATGATGTGCTTCCCTTTGTGAGTGATCCGACCGTTCTCTCTGGCTGCCCTTAGTTTTTCCTTTATTTCAACACTGGTGAATCTGATGATTATGTGTCTTGGGGTTGCTTTTCTAAAGGAGTATCATTGTGGTGTTCTCTGTATTTCCTGTATTTGAATGTTGGCCTGCCTTGCAAGGTTGAAGAGTGTTTTCCAGCTTGGATTCATTTTCCTCATGATCTTGCAGTACAATCAAGTGTAGATTAGGTCTTTTCACATAATCCCATATTTCTTGAAAGCTTTGTTCATTTCTTCTCATTCTTTGTTCTCTTTTCTTGTCTTGTCATTTTGTTTCATTGAGTTGATCATCAATCTCTGATATCCTTCTGCTTGATCTATTCAGCTACTGAAACTTGTGTATGCTTCACTAAGTTCCTGTGCTGTGTTTTTCAGCTCCATCAAGTTGTTTATGTTCTTCTCTAAGCTGATTATTCTAGTTAGCATTTCGTCTTACCTATTTTCAAGGTTTTCAGTTTCTTTGCATTGGATTAGAACGTGTTCCTTTAACTCAGAGAAGTTTGTTATTGTCTGTCTTCTGAAGCCTGCTTCTGTCAGTTTGTCAAATTTGTTCTCCATCCAGCTTTGTTCCCTTGCTGGTGAGGAGTTGTGATGTCATGGTGGGGGAGAGGCATTCTGGTTTTTGATGGTTTCATTCTTGTGCTGGTTTTTTCCCACCTCATTGGATTTATAGTTTTGATCAGCTGCTTGTTGAGGCAGCCTTTCCTTTGTCTGCCTGCATAGGCACTGCTGGGCTGCCACAGGTTTAGTGGAGCTGCTGTGTCTTTTATTTACTCAGGAAAGCTAAGCCAACTTTTGCAATGGTGGCTGCTCCTCCCCCCACTGAGCTGGATTGTTCCTGGTGGCTCTCTAGCTGCAAAACAAAACTCTAGCATGAGGGTTTTTTTCAGTCTGCTGGGCTTTGTCGAGGGGGCGGGGAGCCCATCCTGCTGTACGGGCTGTTTCCCCATTTTCAGTTCCCCTTCCCTCTACGGGGAGAGTAGATCCATCCAGTTGGCTTTCTGGCTTTCGCATCAGCCAGTGCTTCTGCCTAGGTCTATGTTGACAGCCTCAGTGTCGGCCGAAGTTGCTGTTCTGCACTGTTCAGGCAGCTCACTGAGGCTTTTCAGCCCGGCAAAGATCTCCTGTTCTGGGGTTGTAGAGGGCTTGGGTGGAGCGCTGTATCCAGCTGGTCCTCCAGTCCGTTGCATGCACCTCCTGGGTGGGGCAGTGCCCCGCCTTGCCTCAACTTGCCCTATTTGGTTTATACCCACTGTCCAACCAGATCCACAAAACCTCATTTGGAATCATGGAGACCACTCGGTTTCTGTGTCTCTCTCACTGGGAGCTGCTTTCTGAAGCTGCCACTCATTCGGCCATGTTGGGATCCTCCAACACAGCAGAATTTTAACTGATGGCTCTCAGAAAAATTCAGTTTGGTTATGACTTTTAGAGTTCAATTATATGAAAAGAGCCTCTAACTGACAGAAATTCCCATTACACCTAAATAAAAAAATATTTGGCGGGCAGGAAAGCAAACATTTTCTGGAAATATTTTTTGCAAGTTATCAATCAGTAAAATAAAACTACTTGGGTTCCCAGCAGAATAGGCCTTTGAAATCAAATTAATGGATTCCATCTGAAAACTATCAAATTTGTTTTCAAATAATCCTTACATATTGAAATGGAGGCATTTAAGACCTATATGAACAAGCGACAACAGCACCATATAACCCATGTGCATGAAGATATGAGTTTAAAAGGGACTTCCTTAAGGAGGAAGACTTGATAGGCTAGCTAATTACACAAAGGGATTGCATTCTTTGCCTAATATGGACCAATTGTGACAAAATACTAGAAATCTCAACCCTTATTTCAACCATGGAGAAGATACTATGATAGAATATCATCATTTTAACCAATGCACAGATTGTTAAGTATGAATCAGCATTTCCATCTTACAACCTATTTTTACTCCTATGTCCATATTGTTTGAATTCTATTAGTAAAAGTTTCTCTACAGAAGATAAGGAGAAAAAGCATTTTTTTGTGATTATTATACACTAAATTTTTCTGGGTATTACAGGTACATAAAACTCATGATGGTTTTGTGTGTGTATGTGTTGAGTATTACAGTTGCATAAAAATCATGCTGTGCGTGTGTGTTGTGTTTTTGAGACAGGGTTTCACTGTTGCCCAGGCTAGACTGCAGTAGTACAACTGGCTCACTGCAACCTCCATTTCCTGGGTTCAAGTGATTCTCCAGTCTCAGCCTCCTGAGCAGCTGGGACTACAGGAGTGAGCCACCAACACCCAGGTAATTTTTGTACTTTGTAGAGATTGGGTTTCTCCATGTTACCCAGGTTGGTTTCAAATGCCTAAGCTCAAAGCAATCCACCCACCTCAGCCTCCCAAAGTGCTGGATTACAGCAGGAGTCACTGCACCTAGCCTGACTTAGTTTATTTTCTATTGGAATTATTTATCTGAACAGAATATAAACCATCTTTACCAGGTTTGTGAAAACTGAGATGGTCTACAGGTGAGCTGTCACTCAGTTGCCAAACTGTCTTAATCTTCTTTTGACCACTATATATTTCCACTCTCCACTTCTGTGGCTTCTCACTTAAGGAAAGAATAAAACAACAAGAAAAATTTTCAAAAATAGCCATTTACTTCCTTCCCTCTAAAGCCATTTAGTGAAGTCCTCATGTGAAAAGCACTGAGAACAAAGAGGTAAACAGGTAACAATTCCCACCCTTGAGGTGTATAGTCAAGAGACAGAGAGAAACAAGAATAAAAATAACCATTTTAAAAAAATGCTACAACAGAGAAATACTAGGTGTGTTGGGGAAAACAGAAGACAGGAATGTAACTCGAACTGGGGAGTGTGGAATGTCTGAAGAAATGCAGTAACGCAGCATCCCTGTGATAGGAGCCATTTAAACAGGAGGAAGTCCTGATGGGATCTGAATTTCGGGAAGATCGTTTTGGCAATGACATAGAAAAGAAAGAACAGAGGCAGAGAGCGCAGTTAGGAAAAAGAATTTTACCACAGTCCAGGTATGAAATGATGCAGATGTGAAACAAAGCAATGATGATGTGAAGATGTAGAGACGGGGACAAATTCTAGAGCTACCAAGTTCTAGACTCAGTCATCCTTTTTTTTTTTTTTTTTTGAGACAGGGTCTTGCTCTGTTGTCCAGGCTGGAGTGCAGCAGCACGATCACAGCTCACTACAGCCTCACTGCCTCCCAGGCTCAGGCAATCCTCCCACCTCAGCCTCCCTAGTAGCTGGAACTACAGGCACATGCCACCATACCTGGCTAATCTTTATATTTTTTGTAGAGACAGGGTTTCACCATGTTGCCAGGCTGTCAGTAACGATTTAAAGGAGTGAGGGAATGACTGGAGGATAAGCACTAGGTTTTTGTTTTGGGCATTAGTTAGAGATTAATGATGGCCATTAAGTATGGGAGGAGGAAAAAGCATTGAGAAAAGGACGAGGTGTTTGGCTTTAGAGTTTGAACTGCTACTTCAATAAGCTGGGGATTCACGGCTAACAAAGATGGGTCTGAAGCTCAGAGAAAACTGGAGATGTGAGTTATGAAGTACTATTAACCTAGACAAGTTGAAGCCTTGAGTATAAATGCAATCACCAAAGGAAGATAGGAAGTAAGAAGAAAAGAAGGCAGAGGGTAGAGTTCTGGTGAAAAGCAACAGAGGAAGAGGAACTTGAAAAGAGAACTAAGCCTAATCCCAGCACTTTGGGAGGCTGAGGCAGGTGGATCACGAGGTCAACAGATCGAGACCATCTTGGTCAACATGGTGAAACCCCGTCTCTACTAAAATTACAAAAAATTAGGTGGGCACGGTGGCGCGTGCCTGTAATCCCAGCTGCTCAGGAGGCTGAGGCAGGAGAATTGCCTGAACCCAGGAGGTGGAGACTGCGGTGAGCCGAGATGGTGCCATTGCACTCCAGACTGGGTAACAAGAGTGAAACTCCGTCTCCAAAAAAAAAAGAAAAGAGAACTAAGCCTTTCAGGTGGGCCAGAGATGTAGAATTCAAATTAAGACACATGCTATGGCACAGAAACTAAGGAGACAAGTTCAAGAAAGCAACAATGCTAAATTCCAAACGGCCTTGTAAGTGCTTACCGAGGCAGAAAGAACTGGTGGGCCAACTAATTACACAAGCAGCTAGAAAACATTATCTTACTGAAAAGCATCCATTGGATTTGACAATTAGGAGGCCATTCATTGGTAACCTTTGCCAGAGCCATTTGAGGGGGAGTGTGGGAGTTTGGCTAAGAAAGAAAGAAATAGAGGGAGGGTATAAATAGAGTGGCTATAATATGAGAGAAATATCAAGAATATCATATGCTGAGAGAAGAGTCAGGGAGACCCGCACTGAGGTGACCTCAGTGTCCATGTGGATGGCCATCTATCATCTCAGCCTCAGTCCCCTACTTCCCCTAACCCTAAACCCTCCTCTCACTCCCAGTCATATCCTAGACCCTGTTATCACTATCCTGGTCATTTTTCTCCTAAGAGTAACAAATACAGAGGAAAATGAAAGACTAGAGGCTCCATAGTCTAGACAGAGGCCTGAGGAAGGAAGAGGGAGAACTCTCTCAGGCTATGGGCACAGATGATTAAGGTTTCAAAGGTAATGAAGGTCATGAGGTCCCTAATGAATATGAACACCGAAATTGCCTAGGATCATGGCTGGACTTAAGATAATTGAATTATTAAATTGCTTATTATAATTTTTCAAGAGAGATAATCTCATTATGTTCCCCAGGCTGGTCTTGAACTTCTGAGCTCAAGTTATCCTCCCACCTCAGCCTCCCACAGTTCTAGGAAGGAGACCCTCTGGTGTGAGCCACCATGTCTAGCCAAAATTGCTTACCTTTGATATAAGTTCTTTACAGCAGTTGGCCTGACTGGCAGCTGAAAAATGTGTTGCTCATCAAGAGGATTTTGTTTATAATATTTTATGCAGATCCTAAAAAAACAAAATTGAACCTCTTTTGGAAAAAAGACACTTGAGATAATGGTTTTCTGGTAGTCTAAAGCTTGTAAGGGAAACATTTTATTGAGTACCACTAACTAAAACAGCAAATATTTTTAGAGCCATAAAACAACCCCCGAAACTAAACTTAGGTTATGTTTTTTCTTTGAAACCAAATCTCATTCACTTTTTAAAAATTAACAGACATATTTCTCGTAAATATAATATATTTGAACCCAAAGACAGACTTCAGAGGGGAGAAGAGGTTACAGAAAAACAATACTATAAAAAGAGGAAGAGGAGAAACAAAAGCACAGCTTCCATGGTTTTCAGAGTCCAAGGAATTAAGAGTTAACTCATGCATTCCACTGGTGTATAATGGGGGGAAAAAAGCCTTTGAGATTCTATAAACAGTAATTTCAAACTTTCCCCTTTACAACTGAGGCAAATTCTAATTTTGGAAAATGTGATGGTACATTTCCTCCCAGAAACCCAGTCCTTTCACTGGACAGCTGACTTCCTAGTTTGAGGCCTCAAATGCACATAAGATACCAGCAGTCCATGCCTGGGAATTATTCCAAATTACCTCTAGTCGAACTAATTGGAATCTCAAATTAGAGCAGTCTCTACAATCACAGCAAAGCTACTGACAGAAATTTAGTAATACCATTTGATTCCATTATCATTTAGATGGCTCGCAAGGTTATTTTGACTCAAATTTACAGGGCTATAAAGAAGAGAAGGTGCTAGTATTTACTAAGCACCTATTAAGTGTTAGGTGTGTTATACTCATTACATAATTTCATCCTTACCACAAATACATGAGGTTATTAGATCCTTTTTACAGATGAGAAAACAGGATCCAGTGATGGAAACTTCCTAAGGAAGTTAGGAAGTGGTGTAGCCAATGTGAAATCTAATTCCTTTTGAATCCAAAGCCTTTCCTGCCTGTAGCATTGACTTAGACTCATGCTACTGTAAAGACAGGATGGAGTTCTATCCTAGCTATTAATAAAAACTGCACATATTTAGGCTGTAACTATTTCAGAAGAGAATACATTTCTATATAAGTAAAGAACACAGATGTACTTACTGTGTTAAAGAAAAGAGGAGTTCATGTTGGGATTTAATGAAAGGCATACAACTGACCAATATTTCTAGAATATGGTGGAGTTTTTGGACACGATAAGCCTGTTCTTGTGTATCTACTGAAGGAGCAATGAAGTATTCCTGGAATGAAAAAATATAAGCAAAATAGGGATTTAAAGCACTAGTATAACCTTCGTAAAGAATATAGGTATGCCTGCTACACCTAAATTTAGATTCTTGATAATAGAGATTTTTAAAAAAAGGCAGCTAGATAGAATTTCCCACCTTTCAATACTATTCTTCAAACTAAATTATAGTCATGTACCATATAACTGTTTAAGTCAACAATGAATCATACATATTACAGTGGTCTTTTTTATTTTTGAGACAGGGTCTTGCTCTGCCACCCAGGCTGGAGTGCAGTATTGTGATCTCGGCTCACTGCAACCTCCACCTCCCTGATTCAAGTGATTCTCCTGGCTCAGCCTCCTGAGTAGCTGGGGTTACAGGCGCCCACCACCACACCCAGCTAATTTTTGTATTTTTAGTAGAGACAAGGATTCACTATGTTGGCCAGGCTGATCTCAAACTCCTGACCTCAAGTGATCCGCCTGTCTCAGACTCCCAAACTGCTGGAATTACAGATGTGAGCCATGTTTTTTAAACATTAAAAAAAAGTTAAAAATAGAGAAAAGCTCATAGAATAAGAACACAAAAATATTTTTGCATAGCTGAACAATGTGTTTGTGTTTTAAGTGTTATTACAAAAAAAGTTGAGACAAATTTTAAAGTTTATAATGTAAAAAAGTTATAGTAAGTTATGGTTAATTTTTGGAAGAAACAAAATTTATTATTATTTTTTTTTAGACGGAGTTTTGCTCCTGTTACCCAGGCTGGATGCCATGGCACGATCTCGGCTCACTGCATCCTCCGCCTCCCGGGTTCGGGCAATTCTCCTGCCTCAGCCTCCCAAGTAGCTGGGACCACAGGCGTGCACCACCATGCCCAGCTAATTTTTTGTATTTTTAGTAGAGATGGGGTTTCACCATGTTGACCAGGATGGTCTCAATCTCTTGACCTCGTGATCTACCCGCCTTGGCCTCCCAAAGTGCTGGGATTACAGGCGTGAGCCACCGCACCCGGCCGGAAGAAACAAAATTTTTAATAAATTTGGTGTAGCCTAAGTGTATGGAGTCTACCGTATTATACAGTAATGTTCTATCCCTTCACATTCACTCACACTCACCCATAGCAACTTACCATTCATGGTATCCACTTTTGATCTATTATAAGGTATTTTTATGGTAACCCTTCTATGTTTAGATATGTTTAGATATACAAATACCATTATGTTAAAATTACCTATAGTATTCAGTACAAAAATATGCTGTATAGGTTTATAGCCTGGGACCAACAAGCTATACAACATAGCCTAGGTATATCATCTAAGTTTATGCCACTCCCTGAAATTTGAGCAATGAGGAAATCACCTAATGACCCATTTAAAAAAATGACACATTTCTCAGAATGTAGCCCCATCATTAAGTAAAGCATGACTCTATATACAGATACAGTTGTCCCTTGGTATCCATGGGAGATTGGTACCACAATCCCCCTTGTATACCAAAATCCATCGATGCTCAAGTCCCTTATATAAAATAGTACTGTATTTGCATATAACCTATGCACATCCTCCCGTATACTTTAAATCACCTCTAGATTACTTATAATGCCTAATACAATGTAAATGCTATGTAAATAGTTGTTAAACTGTTTAGAGAATAATGACAAGAAAAAAAAATGATCAGAAAAAGTCTGTACATATTCAATAGAGACATAATCATCCCTTTTTTTTGAGACAAGGTCTTGCTCTGTCACCAAGGCTGGAGTGCAGATAGCCAAAAAAGTAGCCCACGATCACAGCTCACTGCAACTTCCACTTCCCCGGCTCAGCTGATTCTCCTACCTCAGCTACTGCTGGAACCACAGGCACAGACAATCAGGCCTGGCTAATTTTTTAATTTTTGTAGAGATAGAGTCTCCCTATGTTGCTCAGGTTGATCTCACACTCTTAGGCTCAAGCGATCCTCCCAAAATGCTGGGATTAAAGGCGTGACCCACTGTGCTCAGCCTATTTTCTTTTTCAACATTTTCAATCTGCAGTTGGTTGAATCCATGGATGTAGAACCCACAGGCATGGAGGACCGTGTGTGTGTGCATGCGCGTGTGTAGTTTTTGCTAGAACATGTTTAGTAAAAATTAAACCTCAGAAGAATCCAGTTGAGTCTATTTTGCACAAAAGATACAGCTAGTTTATCTTTTTTTTAATTTTTGAGACAGAGTTTCACTCTTGTTGCCCAGGCTGGAGTGCAGTGGTGCAATCTTAGCTTACCACAACCTCTTGCCTCCCAGGTTCAATCGATTCTCCTGCCTCAGCCTCCCAAGTAGCTGGGACTACAGGCATGCACCACCACACCTGGCTAATTTTGCATTTTTAGTAGAGACAGGGTTTCTCCATGTTGGTCAGACTGGTCTCAAACTCCCAAGCTCAGATGATCTGCCCATCTCAGCCTCCCAAAGTGCTGGGATGACAGGCGTGAGACACCACACCCGGCCTCTATCTTGTATTTTTATATAAGAGAAATGATAAATTTATACTATGAATTCATTTTCAAAAGGATCTTCCAGTGAATGTCAAGGGTCAGTACAGATACTACTCAACCTTCTGAAGTTTCTGAATGGGTGAGGAAAATACAACAAAGTTCATAATGATGACCTGAAACCTAGAAGTGTCTTCTGAGCCAATATATTAAAGATCAAATTATTTGGAAAATAAACTTTCAAGTGTAACATAAATGGGCAAGGAGAACATAAAACAGGCCAGGCGCTGTGGCTCACGCCTATAATCCCAGCACTATGGGAGGCCAAGGCGGGCAGATCACAAGGTCAGGAGTTCGAGACCAGCCTGGCCAACATGGTGAAACCCATCTATGCTAAAGATATAAAAAATTCTGTCACACACACAAAAAAAGAATATAAAACAAACTTTATAGAATCTATGAATTCCCTAACTATTCTAGATAGATGAGATGTGTGGTAGTACATTGGCTTCAGAGGGCTAATAACTATAAATTTATATTATAAATTTATATAAATTTGAGCATCACAAATTTATACAGCAGGAGAACTGACATTGAATGGGCTTCTTTTTTGTCTCTTACTAGGCAGTAATAATTAAGGGCACTGAGTGTCTTATTTGCTTCCCAGGACCTGAGACAGTGGCTGGCATATTACTGGCAATTAATAACTGCACACAGAATGACTGAAAGAAAAAACAATTTGAGAATAAAAAAAAAAACACTCACCAAATGATTCAAAGATGCAAGTTCCTGACCTATTAAGAAAAAACACACACATACAGAAAAACTTTAGGTATTTTCTATTACATGTTAAGAAATCTATATGAATTTTTTATCATTCATATATGAATGAGATTTTCAAGCTAAACAGTTCCTCACAAAAGGCCAAGTTTTCTGGCATATGGTACCATAATACTTATCCTAAAATGATCACAGCTTCTCCCTCATAAAAACAACCAAGTGTAGGGTATTATAACAGCATCTCATAAAAGGATTAATTTACAATACTAACTTCCTAGAACCTCAAATGTTTGAACTAAAAACAAGTAAGAACTATGGATATAATGAATATATCTTTATTGGGGAGGAAACGAAGGCCAGAGAAGGGAAATGCTCATCTCACAGTGAACCAAGTACAAAGCCAGGAAGGACTAAAGATGAGGAGGGGCAAGCAGAAAGAAAATCTGAGAATATCTGTGACTGATAACTGTGATATGTTTTTTTCATTTTTTGAGCCAGGAAAGAGACTTACCTATGAAAAAACTGATATAATCTTTCTTTAGTTTGTCCAAACCAATTTCCAAAAGCATTTGAACTGGAATAGTCCCACTAAGAGAAACTGTGTCCATGGTTCCATGATAAGACTGATGAATGAGCTTACTGAGTAAACTGTGACTCCCACTATGGAGCTAGAAATAAAAAAAATTATGAAACCATGAACAAAGATATAAATAAACCCAACAAACAAGAGAAGCTAATTACAGTAGCTACAAGCTAAAAATGATAAGCTTGCATTCTTAGTCTCCTAACACTATAAATTGCTGGAACAAACCTCCCCAAATTATGAACATCAGTTTTTTGGGGTTTTTTTTTATTTGTTTTGAGATGGAGTCTTGCTCTGTCACCCAGGCTGGAGCGCAGTGGCACGATCTCGGCTCACTGCAACCTCCACCCCTTGAGTTAAAGCGATTCTCCTGCCCCAGATGGTACTACAGGCATGCACCACTGTGCCCAACTAATCTTTGTAATTTTAGTAGAGACAGGTTTTCACCATGTTGGCCAGGCTGCTCTCGAACTCCCGACCTTGTAATCTGCCTGCCTCAGCCTCTCAAGGTGTGCTGGGATTACAGGTGTGAGCCACCACACCTGGCATGAACATCAATTTTTAAAATGCCATTCCTGGGATGGGCGCAGTGGCTCACACCTATAATCCAGCACTATGGGAGGCTGAGGAGGGTAGATCACTTGAAGTCAGGAGTTTGAGACCAGCCTGGCCAACATAGTGAAGCCCCATCTCTACTAAAAATACAAAATTAACTGGGCATGGTAGCGAGCACCTGTAGTCCCAGCTTGGGAGGCTGAGCAGGAGAATCGCTTGAGCCTGGGAGGCAGAGGGTGCGGTAAGCCAAGACTGCACCACTGCACTCCAGCTTGGGCAACAGAGCAAGACTCTGAGTCATTAAAAAAAAAAAAAAAACATAAAATACAAATTAAAATAATAAAATGCCATTCCTTTCTCATTTGTTTAAGTCCAAAGCAACTAAGAAGGGTTAAAACTTATCATCCCCAGATAAAATTCCACCAAAGAGAAGTCAGAGTTGGTCCTTTGAAAATTCACAACTAGGAATTCTCTTCTCCTAGCTGATTTCAGGGCGTTACGGCATCTTTCCCACAATTGAACATCTTCATCTTCACCAAAAATCTGTGGCTGCAGTGAAGCACACTCCCTCAATGGCCCATGCATGTGTCATAAAGAATTCCTCGTTGGCTACAATATCCAACGTAGGAACTTGAGAATTGTAAATTAAAAAGAGCTGTGAATTTACAATATGTATTCCAAATGTTAATTCATTTTAAGTACATATAAAATATTTGTCATTTTCCCACTACTTTCTATTTCTCTAACTTCCATCATAATTTTCTACATGGTCTTTTTACAACATATACACAACTAGTTTAACTTTGTACTCATAGTACATGGTAAGATTACACTTGTAAACATCTCATAAACACAAACTCTCAAGAGAAAAATTTAATGGCTAAAACTACAATGTCTAGAATCACCAATGCCCAATTAAGCAGAGCTTGCATGCCTTTACTCTGGAAAGTATCTTTGTTCACACCTATAAAAGTTTATAACTTTTATAATTATGAATTGGCAGTCCTATTACCTAAAATAACTCCTATTAAATAACTTTTTGTTTTTAACTTTGTACTTAGCTTTCTCTTGACTATAAAAAGTTGCACAAATTCATTGTGGAAAATTCATAAAGTAGAGATATAATACAGTTGGAAAAAGTTTTTTTTTTTTTTTTTTTTTGAGATGGAGTCTTGCTCTGTTGCCTAGGCTGGAGTGAAATGGTACAATCTCAGCTCACTGCAACCCCTGCCTCAGCCTATCGAGTAGCTCAAATTACAGGTGCCGGCCACCACGGCCAGCTAATTTTCTGGACTTTTAGTAGAGGCAGGGTTTCACCATATTGGTCAGGCTGGTCTTGAACTCCTGACCTCAAGTGATCTGCCTGCCTCAGCCTCCCAAAGTGCTGGGATTACAGGCATGAGCCACTGTGTGTGACTGGAAAAAGTCATTTGTAGCCCTTCCACCAGAGATGACTGCTCTTACAATTTTTTGCATATGTTTCCAGATTTTTCTCTCCAAAAGTTACATTTGTATACAATTGTCTATTCCTGTTTATTGAATACTGTAAGCACTTCTCCACATTATTTGTCAGCATCATTTTTTCAGCAACTATTACACATGTCATATGTAGCTATATCATTTACTTAGCTGTTCCATTAGCAAGGGAAATTTAGGTCATTTAAAATGTGATGCCAATATAGATGAGACTGCAATGATTATTCTGATACATAGTCTTATCCATGTTTCTGAGTATGACCTTAGGATACATCTTAAGAATTATTGGTTCAAAGGCCATGATACATTGTGAGGCTCTCGATATATTACCAAAATTGCTTTTTAGAGAATATCCCAACTTCCATTCTCATCAGTAGTATATGAGAATGGCCATTCACAGCAACACTTAACAATGACAATATCAGTAGTTTACATTTACTGAGCACTTAACTATGAGCCAGGCACAAGGTGCATTACATGGATAACATTAGTCAATCCTGGAACGTTATGAGGTAGATACTATTCTTACCTTTACAGATGAGAATGCTGGGGCACAGAAAAGTAAAGGAACCTGATTGTTCCTTTACACACCTAGAAAGTATCACAGCTGGAATTCAGACTCAGGTGGTCAGCTTCAGAGCCTGTGTCTTTAACCATGATGATATACTACTGAGAAAATGATCTGGCACACTACTAAACCTACCCATGGCTGTATATCACCACGTTGTAGACTCTGGATGATCAATGTGAAACACTTCACCAAGTCTTGGTATGAAATCACACCTTGGGAAACAAGTCAGTGGAACATTATTTTCAGGGTATTTCTACAGATCAAATACATCATTAATCTTAAGGATACACAAATGAAGTAGAAGGCAAGAATCTGTACTTCATGGGTAGGAGAAAGAGAAAGAAATTAAAGAGGCAAAAAAAAAGATTTAATGCATTTCTAAAGAAATAAACTCAGATTGCCAAAAAAATAACATGCTTAGTAAAATACTAAAGAATATCTTTTCCTTTTTCTAATAATTTCAAGGTATATGTTTTCGTTCATATAAGCAGAGCATGAAAATTACCTAAGTCTTACACTTAAAAAGGCAGAGAAAAGGATAATTCTACAAATTACCTTGTCTTAGTACAATTCTTAAGTAGCATGTACCAATGTATTATCAGAAATGAAGTGGATAAATACGAACCAGACTTCCACACAAGAACAGTGGTACTCACTGTATTACCTCCAAAATACTTAACCCTAAGAAATAAAAGGAAAAATCTGAATCCCGATGGACACTTACTACTGCTCATTTTGCACCACAGTTGCTCAGCAAAATCGAGATCACTGCGCACTTCGAAAAGACGCTTGACTGAACGATCAACTGCGGCGGCGTCATGCTTCACTGTCTGAAAAAGAAGCAAGCTTCAGAGAATACTCTGGGTTTTTTTAAAGTGAAATAATTTAAGCTTTCAAATGCTGCTCTGAGAAATTATGGATTCATGAACACACACACAGACATGAATGCACTTTCTACAACTTCATTCACTAATGAGGAGATACAAATCAAGAGTGAAAAACAAAACCCTTAATACTGTTTTTAAAACTATAGGGCCTAAAAGTGAGCATTCAGCTTTCCTTCCATGTATAAAAAAAATGACCACCAGGTGCAGTGGCTCAAGCCTGTAATACCAGCACTCTGGAAGGCAGAGGCGGGTGGATCACCTGAGGTCAGGAGTTCAAGACCAGCCTGGCCAACACAGTGAAACACCATCTCTACTAAAAATACAAAAAAATTAGCTGGGCGTGGTGGTAGGTGCCTGTAATCCCAGCTACTCAGGAGGTTGAGGCAGGAGAATCACTTGAACCTGGGAGGCAGAGGTTGCAGTGAGCTGAGATCGCACCATTGCACTCCAGCCTGGGCAAGAAGAACGAGACTCCATCGCAAAAAAAAAAAACAAATTACCTTGGTCTCCATTTTCCTACTTGTCAGATAAGAATATATCTAGTTTAACAGCACCATCTTACAGTATATTAATGTATGAACCATCTAATAGTAATATTAACATATTCATTTCTAGATTAACATATTACTAGAACCATCTAATAGTAATATTAACATATTCATTTCTCTTCTCTGCAATTGAGTAATGAATAATACATATATATCAGTTCTCTTCAAAAATATTTATCAGTTCTGGCTAGGCACAGTGGCTATGCCTATAATCCCAACACTATGGGAGGCCAAGGCAGATAAATTGCTTGAGCCCACAAGCTCAAAACCAGTCTGCACAATGAGACCCCATCTCTACAAAAAATTTAAAAATCAGCCAGGCATGGTGTTGCACAGCAGTAGTCCTAGCTACTCAGGAGGCTGAGGTGGGAGGATCACCTGAGCCCTGGAGGTCAAGGCTACATGGAGCTGTGATGGAGCCACTGCATTCCAGCCTGGGTGACAGCAAGATTTTATCTTTAAAAAAAAAAAAAAGGCTGGGCGCGGTGGCTCAAGCCTGTAATCCCAGCACTTTGGGAGGCAAAGTTGCACGGATCATGAGGTCAAGAGTTTGAGACCAGCCTGACCAACATGGTAGACCCCATCTCTACTAAAGATACAAAAAAAATTAGCCAGGTGTGATGGCACGCGCCTGGAATTCCAGCTACTCGGGAGGCTGAGGCAGGAGAATTGCTTGAACCCAGGAGGCAGGGGTTATATAGTTAGCCAAGATCTTGCCATTGCATTCCAGCTTGGGGACAGGATGAGACTGTCTCTAAATGAATGAATGAATGAATGTATGCATGCTATTTCTAACCAATATTAAACACGTACCTCAGTGTCTTGTTGTGTAGCATCACCAAATCCATCCAGCTTATTTAAGTCTAGAAATTGGCAAAAGTGTATTAGCTCTTGATTTTTCTGCTTTCCAAATTATTTCCATCCTAATCCTATTTTCAAATGGTAAATGGGGTAGATTTTAGAAATAAAGTGGAGATTTTAGAATATAAGTGGGGATTTTAGCAAATCACTGAACGCTTTGGAGGAGGTTATAATAGACACCCATCAGGTAGGGTGTGAGGATAAAACGAGGTCACAGAAAAGCCCGACACCTGGCATCAGGCACATGGTAGGTATTCAAAGACTACAGCTTCATCTCGTTTCCTTCCGTCTCAAATATAAATTAAATCTTATTAATTCTTACAATGACTTAGGTCTCTACTGTCAGCAATTCAGAACAAAAGCTGTCCCTCTGACCATAGCAGATCTCATAGCTTTGAATATATTCCAATCAAAAAGAGTATCAAGCCTAAAGAGAAACTTATATATAAACACAGCAAGTATCAATTCTCAATTAATAAAAACAAGTAATACACCATTCAGAAATTCCTGCACAAGTTCAACAGCAGATTTTGCTTCCAGAGGCTCGAGCCATTCAGTTACACCAGTCCTCAAACCATCAGCCAAAACCTATGGGAGATTTAAAAATCCCAAAAACTTGTTAGCAGAAAACACTGTTTAATCAATAAGGATGTATGTTATCACAATATTAATTGCAGTTACATTTCTTGGGTGCTTATTACATGCCAGGTACTGCTGTGGTACTTTATATATAGTACATGTTACTTAATCCTAATGAAACTCTACAGTAGACATTACTATTATTCTCATCTCATTAAGGCTAAGAGAGGTTCAGTAACTTGCTCATGGTCATGCAATTAGTAACTGATAGTGCCAGGATATACACCCAGTATATATCTGATCCCAAAGATGGTGCTCTGAACAATGATGCTATGTGCATAGGTGCTACAGAGGACTTAAGACTGAGGATGGGTTTGCCCTGGAGATGCTTGTAACTTTGGTAAAGACAGACAGATAAGACAAATGAAATAGTCTGGGGATGAATACATGGAAACAGTCAGTGGAAGTGTATATTAAAATAATACAAATATGTATGCACATACATACAATATCTCAGTGGACTTAAGAAGAAGCAGTCAAGTTAGGCCACAAGAGCCAGTGGAACAATGTGGAACTTCAGTTGCAACTCAAATGTGGGAGCCATAGGCTGGCAGGAAAATGCATTTATTTTAAGTGTACAATTCAGTGGTTTTTAGTATGTTTACCAGGTTGTAAACATACCAGGTTGATACGTTTACATACCATCACCATAATTAATTTTAAAACATTTTCATCACTTCAAAGTGAAACCCTGGACCTATCAGCACTCACTTCTTACTCCCATCAGCCCCTGGCAACCACTAATCTACTTTCTGTAGCTCTTTCCTTCTTATTGCCAAATAGCATTCCATTCCTATTGTGTGTGGATATGCCACATTTTGTTCATTCATCAGACATTTTAGTTGTTTCTACTTTTTGGCTATTATGAGTAATGCTTCCATGAACATTTACATACAAGTTTTTGTGTAGACATGTTTTTGCATCTCTTACGTGGAGTTATATTTAACTTTTGAGGAACTGCCAAAGTATAATGTTGTCCAGAGTTATTTTAACCCTCAGTGATGAGGGTTCTGATTTCTCTACACACTTCATACTGTTGACAGTGAAACTATTTTCTTCAGACTAGATCCTCTTTCAAAACCCCCCATTTCTGTCTGTGGTCCCACCATTCCTTCAATTTCCCAGGCTAGAAATCTCATATTTCACTTTAGTAAGAACTATTTCTTTTCTTTTTTTTGTGACAGAGTCTTACTCTGTCACCCAGGCTGGAGTGCAGTGATGCAGTCTCAGCTCACTACAACCTCTGCCTACCAGGTTCAAGTGATTTTACTACCTCAGGCTCCCCAGTAGCTGGGATTACAGGTGCCCACCACCATGCCCAGTTAATTTTATATTTTTAGTATAGATGGGGTTTCGCCTTGTTGGCCAGGCTGGTCTTGATCCTCACCTCAAGTGATCCACCCGCTTCAGCCTCCCAAAGTGCTGGGATTATAGGCATGAGCTACCACGCCCGGTCATCTTTACATTTTTCTAAAGACCGTGCTGGGAGTTGGGGATGATAGCATTTCTGTTGAGAAATGTTTTATTTTCTCTTTCCTAGGAATCCATCCTTGGTACTTATGATAGAGGAATTCTTAACTAGATCATGTCATTTTCCTGCCCAGGAATTCAAAACCAACCTGGGCAACATAGGGAGAAACCCTGTCTCTACATAAAAATATTTTTAAAAATGTAAAAACAAAAGAAAAACAGTAGGATAGCAGCTGGATCGTAATTGGCTTTGTATCACAGATTAAGACATTTGGAATTTCCACTGCATTAAAATGAGGTACTCTCTTGAGATTGTATTTGCAGACTAGAGCTAAACTTACTGAAGCACAAAATTCTTGAAACACATGCTCAATAATCTTTAGCATCAATCAAAATCTCAGCTGTCAATAAGCAGCTTATGTATGTTTTGTTTGTTTTTGAGATGGAGTCTGGCTTTGCTGCCCAGGTTGGAGTACAGTGGTACAATCTCCACTCACTGCAAACTCCACCTCCCAGGTTCAAGCAATTCTCCTGCCTTAGCCTCCTGAGTAGCTGGGATTACAGGCACCCAACACGAAAACCAGCTAATTTTGTATTTTTAGTAGAGACAGGGTTTTGCCATGTTGGCCAGGCTGGTCTCAAACTCCTGACCTCAAATGATCTGCCTGCCGAGGCGGTAATGCTGAAGTGTTGGGGTTACAGGCATGAGCCAACATAACCAGTCTTATACATGCATTTGGAATAAATTGGCAGCTGATCATAATAAAATCAAACATTCCAGTAGAAAAGGGCGGGAGAACTATAGCTAGTAATGACCTAATGCTCCCGTTAATTCTAAGGACAACTACCACATAAGTAAAATTAAATGCCCAAACTGTCAGACCATCTAATGGATACGTAACATCTGAACAAATTCTAAAGAGCACAAACCTAAGTAAAACCAGTAATAGCACGTTTTTATAAAAATATGAGATTTCGGGAAGGGAATTCTAGAAGGATACTCACAAGAAGAAATTTCACTTCTCTGTAGAGATATTTCAAAGGACCTCTGGGCTCTCCCGATTCCACTTTAATATTCTGAAAGATTTCCAAAATCTGTCAGTTTTCCACTACTGTTCCCATCTTCTCTACATTAAGTGTTATACCTGCATTTCAAACGATGCTTCACACATTAAAAAATATATTTCATAAAGGATCAATGAATTGAAAAATTAGGTCAACACATCATTTAGAACATCTTACTCAGAGATACTACAGATTTTGCCATCTTGATCCAATAACCTAAATTAAAACCACTGTATCCTCTTGCTATGCCACAAACAATTGTACTTATGTGCAACAACTGCCCCCCTCACATGCTCTCCTGCCATTTCCCAAGGAATTTCCAGGAGGATAAGGCAGGAGAAATTTAAATAAATGTATCTCAGGGTTCAGTGATAACTTAGATGATCACAAACCAAAATGAAGTCTCCCATTAAATCTCTTTATTAGACTCCTTCTAACTAAACCAACAGTGTGCTGTCCCAGCCAGAGGCCGACATCTTATAAACCTAACATTGCAAACATAGAAAAAGAGTGGCCTGACGCGGTGGCTCACACCTGTAATCCCAGCACTTTGGGAGGCCGAGGCAGGCGGATCATGAGGTCAAGAAATTGAAACCATCCTGGCCAACATAGTGAAACCCCATCTGTACTAAAATATAAAAATTAGCTGGGCATGGTGGTACACATCTGTAGTACCAGCTACTTGGGAGGCTGAGGCAGGAGAATTACTTGAACCCAGGAGGCGGAGGTTGCAGTGAGCCGAGATTGCACCACTGCACTCCAGCCTGGCACCTGCAACACAACAAGATTCTGTCTCAAAAAAAAAAAAAAAGAAAAAGAGTAAAGTAAATGCCAATGTATGTCAATTCCTATTACAGGAAAAGTATAAAGAACATAATTATCCATGGCCAGGTGCAGTGGCTCACATCTGTAATCCTAGCACTCTGGGAGGTCGAGGCAGGTGGATCACTTGAGGTCAAGAGTTCGAGACCAGCCTGGCCAACACGGTAATACCCTATCTCCACTAAAAATACAAAAATTAGCTGGGTGTGGTGGCATGCCCCTGTAATATCAGCTACTTAGGAGGCTGAGGCAGGAGAATCACTTGAACCCGGGAGGCAGAGGTTGCAGAGCCAAGATCATGTCACTACACTCCAGCCTGGGTGACAGAGTGAGACTCTGTCTCAAAAGAAGAATATAATTATCCATAATCTTGCCACTCTGAGGGAACCACTATTAACACTATCCAGGCTTCTGTGTATATATTTTTTTAAAATTATAGTTGAGATCTCATTACATAATTTTATAATTTTTCTTTTTTCTTGATAATAAGCATATCCTATTATTGATATTCAAGATTTTAAAACATGCTTTTAAAGACTGTATAATATTTCATCATGAAATCGATTTTAGGCCAGGTGTGGTGGTTCATGACTATAATGCCAGCACTTTGGGAGGCCGAGGCAGGCGGGTAACTTGAGGTCAGGAGTTGGAGACCAGCTTGGCCAACATGGTGAAACCCTGTCTCTACTAAAACTACAAAAAAAAAAAAAATGCTGAGTACAGTGGCTAACACCTGTAATCCCAGCACTTTGGGAGGCCGAAGTGGGGTGGATCACCTGAGGTCGGGAGTTCCAGACCAGCCTGACCAACATGGAGAAACCCCATCTCTTAAAAAAAAAAATTAGCTGGGTATGGTGGTATGGACCTGTAGTCCCAGCTACTTGGGAGGCTGAAGCAGAAGAATTGCTTGAACCCAGGAGGCACAGGTTGCAGTGAGCCGAGATGACGCCACTGCACTCCAGCCAGGGAGACAGAGCAACCAGACTCCAACTCAAAAAAACCCTATTTTAACTATTCCCTACTCAACATTCTGGTTTTGTTTATAGTATTTTGGAAACACAGCTATATCACCTCACTATCTTACACATGAAGTTTTGTTAGCAATTTTGACTAATTTCTTAAGACAGATTCCTAGAAATATAGGCCTGGCGTGGTAGCTCACGCCTGTAATCCCAGCACTCTGGGAGGCAAAGGTGGGTGGATCACCTGAGGTCAGGAATGCAAGACCAGCCTGGACAACATGGCAAAACCTTGTCTGTACTAAAAATACAAAAATTAGCCTGGCGTAGTGGTGCACATCTGTAACCCCAGCTACTTGGGAGGCTGAGGTAGAATTGCTCCAACCCAGGAGGCAGAGGTTAGGTTGCAGTGAGCCAAAACTGTGCCGCTGCACTCCAGCTTGGATGACAGAGTAAGACTCCATCTCAAAATAAATAAATAAATATACAGTAAAAGGGCTTAATATTATAATGATTCTTGATGTATTACCACTATCTCCACCCTTTTAAGTATAATAGGGCCAGGCACAGTGGTTCATACCTATAATCCCAGCGTGAGCCACTTTGGGAGGTGGAGGTGGGAGGATCACTGGAGCTGATTTGAAACTAGCTTGGGAAATTAGGTGTGGTGGCATGTGCCTGCAGTCCCAGCTACTCAGGAGGCTGAGGTGGGAGGATTGCTTGAGCACAGGAGTTCAGGACTGCAGTGAGCAACAATTACGCCACTGCACTCCAGCCTGGGTGACAGAGTGAAACTCCATGTCAAAAAAAAAAAAAAAAAAAAACAGATCCCTCTTGAGCCACCACTCGAGACTTTATCACCAGAAAATTCTTAAGTTGCATTACTATAGGGCTAAGGGCAACTAATAGATCAGATCACCTGACAAAACCTTCACTGGTTGCCCTGGTGACACATTAGTGGCAAGGTGGCCATTTTAGAGTTGTCCAGCCTCACACGCAGCGAGTGACAAGGCTGGAAGCATGGAGCACCAGCAACAAGCAAGTAAGCCAACACTTAGGAGCCTCATGAACCTGACAAGTAAACAGGGCCCACTCTTACCAGAGTTGCAGTTGAAGAGAGTGGAGGGATTTGAAGAATCTCATCCACAGGGCTCCAGGAAATATCCAAAGTGATGGCAGTTTGCGATGTGGTGAATGTATCATCCAAGGCAGGGGACTTACAGAGCTCATACTGGGCAAAGCCTTTGGATGACACCTGAAAAGATTGCACCCAGCAGACCATTTAGCTGTGCTTCCACATGGCCAAAAGTCCATTACCAAAACTATTTTGATCCTTGTCCCAAAAGAAGAAAAAGCACATATGCCATACTTTTATCCCAAATGGAAAAATAAGACAACTGTTTTAAATCACAAAGATTAGCTAAGAGGTAAGAAGGTATTTTAACTTTGGTCATTAGCTGATATGAAAATAAACATAAACATTTTCATACTACAGAAAAATATCTAGTCATCTTAGGAGTGGAAAAAACCCCGGACACTAGGAAGGCAGGTTGGTAACAATTTGAAGAAAACATCATGAGTAGAAGCAAAACACTTACAGTAGACAAGTGATGTCTTTTCTTGTGTAAATTTTTTAGGTTTTCAAGATTTACAGAATAATTCTTATCAGCTATAGGAAATGAAAGGAAAAAAATGTAAAGACACAACTTAAAATTACGTTGTTAGAGCTAGAAAACTGCAGTCCTCAAATTCAGAGTGTGCTGCAATTCAACCAAACAACTGAAGTTCTAAACCACAGCCAAGTGAAGTGTTTCTGAGAGAATGCGAGTGGGCTGGGCAGGGTGGCTCACGCATATAATCCCAGTATTTTAGGAGGCTGAGGAGGGAGGATTGCTTGAACCCAGGAGTTCGAGACCAGCCTGGGCAACATAGCAAGACCCTGTCTCTACAAAAAATAAAAAAAAGTTAGCCAGGTGTGGTGGTGTGTGCCTGTAGTCCCAACTACTGGGGAGGCTGAGGTGAGAGGATTACCTGAGCCCAGGAGGTTGAGTCTGCAGTGAGCCATGATTGCGCCACTGTATTCCAACCTGGGTGACAGAGTAAGAGTCTGTCTCAAAAAACTAAAAAAAAAAAAAAAAAATTTAAGTGGAACAGCCAGGTGCAGCCTACTTGCCTGTAATCCCAGCTACTTGGGAGGTTGAGGTGGAAGGATTACTTCAGGCTAGGAATTTGAGATCAGCCTGGGCAATATACTGGGACCCTGTTTCTTAAAAACTAAAACTAAACATAAAATTAGCTGGGCATGGTTGTGCTCTCCTGTAGTCCCAGCTATTCAGGAGGATATGGTGGGAGGATCATTTGAGCCCAGGAGTTTGAGGCTGCGGTGACCTATGAATGCACTACTGTACTCCAACCTGTGCTATAGAGTGAGGCCATGTCTCTAAAAAAAAAAGTGGAAGGAGGGTCAATACTACTACCGAAAATACAATTACATATCTTGAGATTGGAAACGTACTGTCATTATATTCAGTTTTGTATCTTCCATTGAAAATTTTCAATAATATACACACAGAAATAAAATGAAACCCAAATCAAAGAGGTGTAAACCTCCTGTCCAGACTTTTGGAGATCTGTTTCTGGTGTTTCCGGAATACCTCCCATATGCTGCAGGCTACACGCTAGATTTAGGGTGATAAATGCAAGTTCCACTTTGTGCACTTTCATAACAATATCGATTTTCAGTAAAAAACATGAAATAGTAACTATACAGATGAATACACACATACACACACGAGAGAGCACTCACCTTTACAACTGACCACATATAAGACAATTCCTGTAATGCTGTCGTTTGTTGTGATAAGCTCAGCTCCTAGCCAACAAGTACCTTCGGGATCTGAACTGTCACATCTTACCCAAAGGGGAGGAAGGGCAGTAACTGGCAGATTAATCTTCAAATGGGTCATATTAGGATTGTGAGCCATGGTGTAAAGTCCAATTAACTGTCTTTAAAACAAGAGTAAGAACAAATTATAGAGATTTCCATTCTGAGAATTTGTTTCTCTTAGAGACAGGGTCTCACTCTGTTGCCCAGGCTGGAACACAGTAGTGTGAACACAGCTCACTGCAGCCTCGGCCTCCTGGGCTCAAGTGATCCTCCTGTCTCAGCCTCCCAAGTAGCTGGGAATACAGACACAAGCCACTGTATCAGGCTTACTTTTATTTTTGTAGAGACAGAGTCCTGCTATGTTGTCCAGGCTGGTCTCAAACTCCTTGCCTCAAGCAATTCTTCTGCCTTAGTCTCCTAAAGTGGAGGGATTATAGGCACAAGCTACCAGGCCTAAAGAGAATTTTCTTTTAAAAAGATGAGGGGGTCTCACAGAAATAACAACCTAGAAATTAAGTAGCAAGATGTCTATATATATATATATATATATGTATATTTCATCTATTAATGGGTTTGCCAGGCAGATCAAAATGCATGCACCAGAAAGCGACAGAGTATGACAGGACTGGAGCTACTATGAGCAGGGAGCTTCAATATGTTGAGGGTTGGGGGTTCAGCAGGAGTAAAGTTCAGTTGAAGTGGAAGAGGCAGGATGTGAGATTCATCTAAGTAGTAGGAGTCAATAAACACAAAATGATGCTCAGTCATTAGTCAGCGAGACAGTCAACAAGATTTGAATATAGGCTCTGATGAGATAACGGTACTATAATGATGTGAAATTTCCAGATTCTGATCATTGTTCCACGGCTATGTAAGAGAATGTATTTGTTCATAGAAAATACACTGTGGAGTATTTAGGAGTAAACGAGTACAATATCTTCACTACATTGTCAATACTTCATTTTTAAAATGGTGTATGTGTATTACCATATGCATATATACACACACTATATACAGTTATAAACTATATGTTGTTATGATACAGTTATAACAATATACATATAAGGGCCGGGCGCGGTGGCTCAAGCCTATAATCCCAGCACTTTGGGAGGCTGAGGCGGGTGGATCACGAGGTCAAGAGATCGAGACCATCCTGGTCAACATGGTGAAACCCCATCTCTACTAAAAATACAGAAAATTAGCTGGGCATGGTGGTGTGTGCCTGTAATCCCAGCTACTGGGGAGGCTGAGGCAGGAGAATTGCCTGAACCCAGGAGGCGGAGGTTGCGGTGAGCCGAGATCGTGCCATTGTACTCCAGCCTGGGTAATGAGAGCAAAACTCCGTCTCAAAAAAAAAAATACATGTATATATATATATATATATATATATATATATATATATACACACACACACCACACACACACACACACACACACATAAACTATGTATGAATACGCATATAGCAATATACTGCTTTGCATGCTATCTATCTAGAAAGAGATACAAGAGACAGAAAAAGGAAAAGGGGAAAAGGGGAAGAAAAGCAAATGCTGCAAAATCTAAGCAATTGGGGACTTTGGGTTAAGGATATACATAAGTTTATGCACTATTCTTGCAACTTTCCTCTAAATTTGAAAGTATATCAAAACTGAAAGTCACCAAAACACGTGGCTTAAATTTTTATTTTTCAAATACATGAAAACTAAATTTATTACCAACAGATGTCCAAGAGGATTTTACTTGCAAAAAGAGGTAAAATAATCCCAGAAGGTAGGTATGAAAATGCAAGAAGAAATGGAGCAAAGAAATAAGCACATGAATCAACCCACATAAACACTGGCAGGAGAAAATGATACAAATAAATAACATCTAAGTCCTAGAGAGAAAACAGGCTAAATATGACTAAAATCAAGGACCTAAATTTGAAAGTATATCAAAACTGAAAGTCACCAAAACATGTGGCTTAAATTTTTATTTTTCCTGTGAAGGAGGAGACTGATTAAACCTTTAAAACTTCTAGGCCAGGCACGGTAGCTCACACCTGTAACCCCAGCACTTTGAGAGGATGAGGCGGGCGGATCACCTGAGGTCATGAGTTCAAGACTAGCCTGGCTAACATGGCGAAACCCCATTTCTGCTAAAAATACAAAAAATTAGCCAGGCATGCCTGTAATCCCAGATACTCAAGCAGGCTGAGGCAGGAGAATCGCTTGAACCTGGGAGGCGGAGGTTGCAGTGAGCCGAGATCATGCCATTACACTCCAGCTTGGGCAACAAGAGTGAAACTCCATCTCAAAAAAAAAAAATTCTATAGAGGAAAATAAAAACCAGCACATAGAAATAATTTTGTGAACATTATTACAGTGGTTTAATCTCATATTATTCTGTTAGTATATATGTGACTACATCAGCCAGAACACCTTGAAGACAAAGACATTTTGGTTTTGGAGGCAGGAGGAGGCTGGACAGAGGGAACTGTACATAGCTCCACAGTGGGGAAGTAGGAAGTGAAGATGGAGAGGTAGCCAGAGGATTTCAAGTTTATTTCATAGTTACGTAAGAGAATGGCACCTTGGGTGAGATAACTGCTCATTGTACAGGAGAGTTCCACGCATCGCAGGATGTTTACCATCCACAGCCCAGGTTCACTAAATGCCAGTAACTCCTCTCAGTCACTGTGACAACCCAAAATACTCCCCTGTATTTCCAATTCCACCTTCGTGTGGTACCACCCCTGGTGGAGGACCAGTGGGGCTAGACAATGAAGGTTCCTATACGTCATTCTTAAGGAATTTGGATTTTATCATGAAGCCAATGAAGAACCACTAAAGGATTTTAAGCAGGAAAGAAGCTTGGTCAGGTTTTCATTTGAAAAAGAAAGACTGGAGGGGAACCAGATTACATACAAGGAAAACAACAACAATAAATTGGTATAGGGAGTAGAGAAAAGGAAGATAACTGCAGTATTCTTGGGCATGTCTGGGATACCTATCAGATACTCAAGGGGAACCATCCCTAGTTGGGTATACTTATCAGGGGGTGGGAGAGATGAAGGAGGATATCTGGGCTAGATGCCTATTTTTTCCGATGTTTACAAGAACATTTCCATTTAAATCCTAGTTGCCACTCCTACCCCTATGCTAAGAGAAAACTTACCTTGCCTTCCCAACTGGAAAAGCAAGTGGTCCAACATTTTCGCCAGTAGAGAAATCGGATATGGCAGTCTCTTCAGACGGAAGTTCTTCAATATGACTTGTTTCTTCCTTTTCTAAAGGCTTTACAAATGACAAAAGAGCACTTAAGATAGCAACTGACTCTTTACTATGCTACAGAATAATGACAAACAGAACATAATGTACTTGTTTCTACAGGCTTAAGCACAAAAGATTGGGTTTCGGCAAGAACAGCCACAAACTAGAGCTTGATACCAAAAAAATCTTGCCATCAGGAGGATTTCCGCTGTCTTATAAGAAGATACTTCCCTTAGTTGCTAATGGCAGAGGAAGCCAACTGATGCCTTTAGAAAAGGAAGTGCTCCACAGGGCACAGTGTCACCCGCCTGTAATCCCAGCATTTTGGGAGGCTGAGGAAGAGTATCACTTAAGCCCAAGAGGTCAAGACAAACCTGAGCAGTGCAAGGAGATCTATGTCTACCAAAACAAAAACAAAAACAATCAGCCAGGTGTCCCAGTTAATCAGGAGGCTGAGGTAGGACTGCTTGAGCTTGGGAGGTGGAGGCTGCAGTGAGCCATGACAGTACCACTGCACTGCAGCCTGGGAGACAGAGCAAGACTATCTAAAAAAGAAAGTAGAAAAGGAAGTGCTCCAACATGCACAAAATGATTAGCTAAAGGTAAAATACCAAGGAAACCCAGATTTTGTTGGATTTTTCACTCTCAAAACGGGGAAACCTTTCTGGGATATAACCTGAGGCCCACAGCCCTTACTTTTTGTATCTATTCCTTTTAGGGCTATCAGCTGATTGGTGTTAGTGGGTACTGTTATCCATGTGTTTACAAAATAGTTAAATAGCTCAGCCATGCCAATAATAGTAACAAGGGAGGTTTTATCCCTAGACAAAACTGCTGTGTATCCTGATTGCAGTGGTGACTGCAAGAATATATATGTTAAAATTCACAGAACTGAACAACAAAAGAAATGTCAGTGTTATCAACTTACTGATAATTTTACCTTTCTTTCTCTTAATGAGGCTAATAGAAAATTTTATATTGCAAATGTGGTTCATATTTATTTCTACTAGACAGGACTACACTTACTCTTAAAAGAAAGAGAACCCATTTTTTTTTTTTTTTTTTTTTTTGAGACAGAGTTTCGCTCTTGTTACCCAGGCTGGAGTGCAATGGCGCGATCTCGGCTCACCGCAACCTCCACCTCCTGGGTTCAGGCAATTCTCCTGCGTCGGCCTCTGAGTAGCTGGGATTACAGGCACACGCCACCATGCCCAGCTAACTTTTTGTATTTTTTTTTTAGTAGAGACGGGGTTTCACCATGTTGACCAGAATGGTCTCGATCTCTTGACCTCGTGATCCACCCACCTCGGCCTCCCAAAGTGCTGGGATTATAGGCTTGAGTCACCGCACCCAGCCTAAGAGAACCCATTTTTACTGATGCTGATTTTAAAACATGTACATGTTAGATTATTCCCAAGAAACCAAATTTGGTTATAGAGAATTAACCACAAAGCCAAACCACTACTTACCACTTTTTCCACTATGAATACTATGTCATTTTCATTTAGAATATTTTTCAGAGGGTTTGGTTGGCCTTTACTGATCAACTGCACTTGGACGTCAGCCTGTTAAAACAGGTAACAAGCAATGTTATATATACACTTACAGATTTGTACTATCTAAACACATAAAGACCAGTTCTATGCAAATGAATGGAAATTTTCCTTAAGAGATCTCTGCTCACTGCAACCTCTGACTCCCAGGTTCCAGCAATTCTCCTGCCTCAGCCTCCTGAGTAGCTGAGACTATAGACTCGAGCTACCACACGTGTGTGTGTGTGTGTGTGTGTGTGTGTGTGTGTGTTTAGACAGAGTCTTGCTCTGTTGCCCAGGCTGGAGTGCAATGGCATAATCTTGGCTCCTGCAACCTCCGTCTCCCAGGTTCAAGTGATTCTCTTGCCTCAGCCTCCCGAGTAGCTGGGATTACAGACACACACGACCGTGCCTGGCTAATTTTCCTGTTTTTCAGTAGAGCCGGGGTTTCACCACATTGGCTAGGCTGGTCTCAAACTCCTGACCTCAGGTGATCTACTTGCCTTAGCCTCCTAAGGTGCTGGGATTACAGGTGTGAACCATTGCACCCAGCCATCTCTCTCATTGCTTTTGAGAATACACACACACACAAATATAAATATTACAGCTTCTCATTCATAAGTATTTCCCCCCAGCTTGTCTGTTAATGTACACTTTATTTTAGTTTGCTAATTATATCATGGATGTAGGTTTTATCTCCCCAACTATGGAGAGTTTACTTATAAACTTAGCACACAACAGACGCTAAATGAATATATAAATGTTTATAGCAGCTTTCATAATGACCAGAAACTAGAAACAACCCAAATGTCCTTCAACTGGTGAATGGATAACCCAACTATGATGCATCCATACAATGGAATACTACTCAGAAATAAAACATGAACAGCTAATACACACAACAACATAGATGCACCTTAAATGCATTATACTAACTGAAAGAAGCCAGAATCAAAACGCTGTGTGATTTTATTTATATGACATTCTGGAAAAAGTAAAACTACAGAGACAAAAAACAGATTAACGTTTGCCAGGAACTAGGGGAGGGAAAAGGGCTGACTGTAAAGGGACACAAGAAAATTTTTGGAGATAATAGAAATGTTCTAAATCTTGATTATGGGGTGAGGGGTGACTAAATAATTTATCAGAAGTCATAGAACAGGCTGGGTGCCACCAGGTGGCTCACATCTGTAATCCCAGCACTTTGGGAGGTAGAGATGGTCGATCACTTGAGGTCAGAAGTTCAAGACCAACCTGGCCAACGTGGTCAAACCCTGTCTCTACTAAAAATACAAAATTAGCCGGGTGTGGCGGCACATGCCTGCAGTCCCAGCTACTCAGGAGGCTGAGACAGGAGAACTGCTTGAACCCAGGAGGCAGAGGTTGCAGTGAGCTGAGATTGCGCTACTGCACTCCAGCCTGGGTGAGACACAAGACTCCGTTTCAAAAAAAAAAAAAAAAGTAACAGAACAGTACCCTAAAAGGATAAGATTCACTGTATGTAAATTAACTTCAATAAATCTGACTTTTAAAAACAGACAATTGGCCAGGCACAGTAGCTCACATCTGTAATCCCAGCACTTTGGGAGGCCCAGGCAGGTGGATCATCTGAAGTCGAGAGTTCAAGACCAGCCTGACCAATGTGGCGAAACCCTGTCTCTACTGAAAATATAAAAGTCAGCCAGTTGTGGTGGTACATGCCTGTAGTCCCAGTTACTGGAGAGGCTGAGACAGGAGAATTGCTTGAACCTGGGAAGTGGAGGTTGCAGTGAGCCAAGATCACACCACTGCACCCCAGCCTGGCCAACAGAGCAAGACTCCAATTTAAAATTAAATAAAATTAAATTAAAATTAAAATAGACAATTTTAAAATTAGGGTTGTATTTGAAAACCAAATTGTTCATACCTCATAGAGAAATGGGTCTTTCCGGATTCCTTTCTTTTCTTCATTATATTCCCTGAAATGCGGAACCACATGTGAAAAATAGAACTACATTATCTCTCCTGCTATTCACACTCAAGAGTCAGCCATCACTTTATCTCTACAGGACACCTATGGCAAAGGCAAAAAGCACATACTTACAGGAGCCCTAAGATGTGGCTGGGGAGACACAAAAGAAGCATTAAGAAGAAAAGAGAAAAAAGACAATTGTGATAGAGATTAATAGACACTTGCACTCAATTGGGTACAACTCAATTCTCAGAGGCAGCAGGAAATTGGGTTGTCTACCTCTACCCTGTGTCTAAACATCACCAGTTAAAATGTAACTTGCTACATGAGACCTTTCAAAAGTAACAATGGCTGGATTCTCATGTTACTGACTCAGAGAGTAGCCACAGAGAAGTTACTTACAAGCCCTAGGCCTTAGATTTCTATGGCTAAAATGGAAGCATCTGTCCTCCATTTTTATAAGCTGTTATTCAAAGTTAGTAAATTTAATTATGTTGAACATTTCCTTTTAAAATGTCAGGATGAAACTCTAGGATATCATTTATTCATTATCTTTTAATTCAAGAAAGTTTTAAAATAGTGAATCTAAAGCACTTAAACTGTAATCCATTAACGTACCAAAATGCACACCAGCCTGATCTACCCTGAAAGAGAAAAGAATCTTTAGTCATTGAAGGAACCCAACAGAACTGTTTCAAGATACCATTTATATCTATTTGATCTAATACTAAATGACTTCTTAAAAAAGAAACAGGAGAGCTAGACCTATGGCCAATTCATTTTGCCATATTGGGAAAGATTGTGATTTAGTCTTACAGATGTTTGTGTCTTTATGTATAACTCAGGAATGTTATGTAATCAACCTTGCAATCATGTCTCAAGCATGTGTAACAGAGGCCAGCCACTCCTGCTAGATACTGAGAATATCAAAAGCGTAGTCCCTGGTTCATAGTCCTGACTGGATTCCAACAAGTAAACCACAGTTCCAAGTGATAAGTGCTCAGAGAGGCAGGTACAGGAAACTATAATAGAAATTTAGCTATAGGGCTTAAACTTTATCCTGAAAGCCAAAAGGAACTCACTAAAAGATTTTAAATGGGAAAAAAATCTCACAGTAATATGGAGGGTAATAACTTGGAGTCCAGGAAAATAGCTGTGAATAACTGGTAGCACTTCAGAGAACTGATAATGGTCTGAATGACAACAGCATGGAGAATAGAGGATTGATAAGGCAGGGGTGAGGGTTTTGGAATTAGGGCTCTTAACTCAGATAGAGAATTCAGAAGTAGAATGTCCGGTTGGAGGAAAAGATTAATTCAGCTTTGCAGATATTGATCTCAGGTTCCATGTGAAATTCCCCCCAGTAAGGGGAAAAAAAAGTGTTATACTTGCTATGTGAAGTATAAAAGGTCTAATTAGGCCAGGTGCAGTGGCTCACACCTGTAATCCCAGCACTTTGGGAGGCGGAGGTGGGTGGATCACAAGGTCAAGTGATTGAGACCATCCTGGCCAACATAGTGAAATCCTGTCTCTATTAAAAATACAAAAATTAGCTAGACATGGTGGCGCGCACCTGTTCTAGCTACATGGGAGGCTGAAGCAGGAGAACTGCTTAAACCCAGGAGGCAGAGGCTGCAGTGAGCTGAGATCACACCACTGCACTCCAGACTGCTAGCAGGGTGAGACTCTGTCTCAAAAAAAAAGAAAAGGAGATAAAGTTGTATCAATAAGCGACTTACTTATTAATTTATTTTTAGAGACGAGTTCTCACTATGCTGCCAAGGCTGGCCTCCAACTCCCGAGCTCAAGCAATCCTCCTGCCTCAGCCTCCAGAGTAGCTGGGATTACAGGTATGCACCACCATGATGCCTAGCTAATAGGAGACTTTTATGTTCCTGGTTTTTTGTTTTTTTCTGAGACAGTCATGCTCTGTTGCCCAGGCTGGAGTGCAATAGCATGATCTTGGTTCACTGCAACCTCTGCCTCCTGGGTTCAAGCAATTCTCCCAAGTAGCTGGGATTAGTGGTGCCCACCACCACGCCCAGCTAATTTTTATATTTTTAGTAGAGATGTGGTCTTGCAATGTTGGCCAGGCTGGTCTAGAACTCCTGACCTCAAGTGATCCGCCCGCCTTGGCCTCCCAAAGTCTGGGATTACAGTGTGAACCACCACCTCCGCCCTTATCTTAAATAAATATAAAACAGCCATAGAATGAAATACTATATAGCAGTTAAAAACAATGAGCTAGATCTACAGGGTGTCACAGTGAAGGAAGTCCAAGACATGCTAGTTTTTTTTTTTAAGTGAGTGCTTTTTCGATTCAAAACATTATACACAAGCATTACTACTTTTGTAAGCAGGAAAAAAAAAAGCAATGAAGATAAACAATGAAACATTGTAACATTTAGGAAATCATGGACTAGATTACACAGTGGTTCTCAAGTGTAATGCCAGGCCGGGCGGGGTCGCTCACGCCCGTAATCCAAGCACTTTGGAGGCCAAGGAGGGGCGGATCACCTGAGGTCGGGAGTTCAATACCAGCCCGAACAACATGGTGAAACCCTGTCTTGAAGGAAAAAACAAAGTGTGATGGCCAGCCATATCCGTTTCACCTGTTTATCAGGAGGGCCAATTCTCTAGCTCCACCCAGACCTACTAAATCAGAAACCCTGGAGGTGGAGGCCAGCAATCTGTGCTTTTAACAGTCCACCGGTGATTCTAATGCAGGGTAAAATTTGAGACCTTTGGATTAGATTTTTACATAGGTTGTATTCCCCTTGGTAGTAGTACTTCACTGTAAGAATAAAACGAAGTCTTGGAGAACAGTGGAAATAAAGGTGGTTTTAAAACGCAACACACCAATCTGCTATCATTACAACTGTAGCTCATGTGGCAACTACCTCGAGGGATAGAGATTAACAGACCAACACATTTCACTTTTAGGAGTCAAAAAAGCTTTAAACAGGCGAAGGATGCCAACACCTAGTATTCCGTATCCTGGGAGATGCCTCTACTTACGGCAAGTGTCTGCATCAGCAGAAAGAATAAACCGCCTCTTGGAATACTTGCCACCTTCCACCTCCTTTGATGACTCCCACAGGGCCAACCCCACCCTGGAGCTGAGAGCCAGCATCTTCCCAACTTCTGGACCCAGGAAAGTTGGCAAAGCGCTAATCCCCAAAGAGTGGCAAGAAGCTTAAGGCGGGGATCCCGATACCCAGGGAAAAAAGCGACTAGACTCACTGAAGGAGGAGAGAATAAAACTCCGCAGCCGCGCGGTTCAGCCGCTCCCACATCCTGCCCCAAAGTGAGAGCGGGACCGGAACTGCCAACTCGAAATGCGCGCGGGGCTGGCGACGTCAGGGGTCATGACCCCGCCCCGCCGGGACTACCTTGACCCCCCCCCCCCCCGCCCCATAAATTGTTTGTCCACAAAATTAAACTTTTGTTTCAGGCCACTCAGAGCTATTTACTGTGTTAATAGTCTTCAGTTTTCAGCAATAATTAAAATTAGTGTATAGTTCGGGAGAAGACGCCTCAACTGGCGGAGTTGACCACGCCCCCTATGGATTATTACGCGAAAAGGAGTCCCTATTTTCTAAGAACCATAATTAGCTTCGAAAGAAAATAGATATCGTAATTTCCCACAAATAAAGAAATAACATGCTAGTTTTTATTTTTGTAGTGTGGTAGAGAAATATTTTGTGTATCCATGTTGGTTCTAAAGCGGGGCAGGGTGGGGCGGTCATGAGGAAGGTTACATATACAGAGGGAGTACTGAGAACTTCCTTTTCCTGTGGCAGCTGCCGGGTCGAGAGGAGCGTGGCTGTCTCTTCTCTACGCCATGGTGAGTGGAAGTCGTCTTGGCTGCCCTTACCCCGGATCTTGGGGCCAGTGAGGAAGGATTCGGGGTTCGGAGCATAGAGTCTCTAGGAGGTAGAGCGAGGAGAAGGAGATGAAGACCAAAGGCGTCTATTTCTGGTGTGGAACTGGGGTGTGCGGCCTTACGGCAGCCATCTTAAAGGCAACGTGGGCTTCCCAGCACAGGACGCGCCTGGAGGCAGTAGTGGAAAGCACTGGGTCGTTCTCAGGAGCAGTGAGACCTAGTCTTAAAAAACTTGGTTATTTAGACTTTTTTCTGGATGCTCGTCTCTGCCTAGCTTAGGAATCATCTCTATTAAAAGCCTTCTGGTTCGCTTCGGTTAAAAATTGTTCGGTGTCATCTAAATCTTCGAATCCTTAGCCAACTCGTAATATGACCAGTGTTATAGGTGTACTGCTTTTGCACAAATAGTCCGTATATATGTAGTGTTGTGTGCCGTAGGGCAGACACTATTCTGACGGGGATCGTAGTTGACTTGGACTAACATAGTAAGTACTCTTCAATGGCAGTAAGAGATATGGACAAAGGGAGTTGGAGTGGTTTGGCTTTAAACAGTGATCAGAGAAAGCTTAAAGTGGCCTGAAGGATGTGAGGAAATTGTGCAAAGAAGAGCTTTAGAGTGAGCACCTGGAAATTCTTTTTTTTTTTTAACATTCAGTAAGATGTTTCCTAACTATAGTGTTAGAACGGGCGAACACCTGGAAATTCTGAGGCAAGAGTGGGGTGGTCCTGAGACCGAAGATAACATCTGGAAGAGAGTATGGGAGATGCGATTAGAGGTAGAGAAGATTGTGTAGGTCTGCCTCAGGATTTTGATTTTACTCACAGGTGGGAAGTCTTTGGGAGAGGTTTGAACAAAAAGTAGCATCGCCAGTGTTTTACTGGTGAGCTTTGGAACGTGTTCAGAAGAGGGTCAAGGTGAGTGGGACAGGAATGGAAGTTGGGATGAGGCATGAAACTTTGCAATATGGTTTTGATTTAGCCATTGTGCTTTATAAGGCTTGCTTTGAAAGTTCTATGATAAAGAGTTCTCTTTGAAAATAAAATTGTGCAGTAGAGCTTGAGATTCTGAGGGTTCTTTGTGTGTAAGAGAATTTACTGAAGTTAATAAAACTGTTGTTGGTCTGTTAGTCATTTACGGCTATTTTGGTTTAAGCTTGTTTGCTCACCATACTAATCTCTTTGGCAATTCAGTATTTAATGGTATTGTTGGCATATGAGAAGGGTTTGCTTCTAATATTACTTGTCAATAAAAATAATGCTTTCCTTTTTCTTTAGGCATGTGCTCGCCCACTGATATCGGTGTACTCCGAAAAGGGGGAGTCATCTGGCAAAAATGTCACTTTGCCTGCTGTATTCAAGGCTCCTATTCGACCAGATATTGTGAACTTTGTTCACACCAACTTGCGCAAAAACAACAGACAGCCCTATGCCGTCAGTGAATTAGCAGGTATGGATTTGTACCTTCTGCAGGTACTTCAGGGACTGCTTTACAGTAGTGATGAAATTCCACTTCATTGGTCCGTGTTTCTGAACCAGATGATTTGCTTGGATGTTCTGATGCTGTTTGCTATCATGCATAATAGTCATAGGTTGGTATGTATGATGAAGCAGCTAAAATTTTTATCTCTTCCCAATTTTAGGCCATCAGACTAGTGCTGAGTCTTGGGGTACTGGCAGAGCTGTGGCTCGAATTCCCAGAGTTCGAGGTGGTGGGACTCACCGTTCTGGCCAGGGCGCTTTTGGAAATGTATCCTTTATTTCACTACCTAAGGCTGGTAGGCTCTGGTGGAATTTAGCAGACTGGGTCTGGTTTATTGATAATATAAAATAAAAATAGTACATTTCTTAAAGAGAAGGGGCTTCATTTATCTGTGGTTATTTTGCTTGCCATGATGTCGTAATTTGCGTCTTACTCTGTTCTCGGCGACAGTTGCCTGCTGTCAGTAAGCTGGTACAGACGGTTGACGAAAATTCTTACTGAGCAAGAAATAACCTTTTTTTAATTACTAAAATTTGAGAAATGTGGTTCCTGACTGGAAAAATAGATGTGTCGTGGAGGCCGAATGTTTGCACCAACCAAAACCTGGCGCCGTTGGCATCGTAGAGTGAACACAACCCAAAAACGATATGCCATCTGTTCTGCCCTGGCTGCCTCAGCCTTACCAGCACTGGTCATGTCTAAAGGTTTGTAATGCTTTGTATCATAAGAGGGGTTGATTGAAGAAATAAGGCACCTAGTGTTTGATCATTAGTGTAATTTTTTTTTTAATTCATAGTAACCTATTTTGAGATGGCTAAAAGAGAATAATTTGAAAGTTTTTAATGTGAAATGTTTTAGTTAATGGATATCCCAGTTACACTGATTTGATCTTGACAAATGAGTGCGTTCAGTTATCAAATGTCCTCCAGAAATAGACCTATTACATATAAGTTTTAAAAGATTTAATCAAAAATATTTTGTGTCAGAGTAGTGCAAAATGCTCCACTTTTCTGTCACGCAAACCTTTGTTAGAATTGCTTGTGTAAATGCTTTTCGTTCTAAAGTGTCTGATTAAATTTTAATCCTTTACAAAATACTACATCTGACTACTTAAATCTCACAATTGATCAACGAATACTAGTGTAACTGGGAAATCTTCAAGTAGTGGTTTGGTATATTAGGAAACTTCCTTAAACGCCCATTGTGTTTTATTTAACTGTCAAAATGATGAGATTCCACTTAATTGGTCCGTGTTTTTGAAACACATGATATTTGTGGAAATTCTGACTTGGCAAATTGAATACCATTGTGCTTTTATAAGTTGTATAAAATGTTTCTTGATTTTTATTTTTATTTTTTCTGAAAGGTCTAGGATAACCTAGTAAGCATCAAATTGGTTTTTGTTAGGTCATCGTATTGAGGAAGTTCCTGAACTTCCTTTGGTAGTCGAAGATAAAGTTGAAGGCTACAAGAAGACCAAGGAGGCTGTTTTGCTTCTTAAGAAACTAAAAGCCTGGAATGATATCAAAAAGGTCCGTTTAATGAGCACATTTATAGTATACTAATCCTTGTTCAGTTTGTTACTTTGAGTTACAGAAGGTAAGTGAAGGGCAGCATAGGTAAGCCTTAATGCGTGAGAGGGCGAGAACCTCAGAGCCCGAATACTTGTGTTTGAATCCTAACTGCCATTCATGACTCTGTAACCTTGGCAAGTTATTGTGCCCTAATTTAATGTAAAATGGAATTTCATTAAAACTGAAGGCTTATTGCAGAAGTTGTATATTAATCAGAATACTAAAACTGGTCACTTTGTAGGTCTATGCCTCTCAGCGAATGAGAGCTGGCAAGGGCAAAATGAGAAATCGTCGCCGTATCCAGCGCAGAGGCCCCTGCATCATCTACAATGAGGATAATGGTATCATCAAGGCCTTCAGAAACATCCCTGGTAATTAAACTGCTTACATGTATTGATTAGCTATACCATGCAAGTCTACTCAGCTTTCGTTAAGAGATTTCGCTTTATGGTGCGTGTTTCTGAAACATGATTTTATGGAAGTTCTGATTTGTGGCTGAAAGATTTGCAGCATTGGTGATTGAAACTTCATAATGCATGACTTATCAGGTACCTTTTGTAGTTCCTAAGCCATAAAAATGATTTGTGTTTCTTCTGTTGAAATACAGCCTCCCTAATTTTTCTTTACGTTAAAAGGAATTACTCTGCTTAATGTAAGCAAACTGAACATTTTGAAGCTTGCTCCCGGTGGGCATGTGGGACGTTTCTGCATTTGGACTGAAAGTGCTTTCCGGAAGTTAGATGAATTGTATGGCACTTGGCGTAAAGCTGCTTCCCTCAAGAGTAACTACAAGTAAGTATCTTTCATATTACTAAATACGTGTTTATATTGCAGATATTAACATTCAGAATGGGCTTACATGTTTTTTAAATGATGAATTTTGTTTCCATTTCCCCTTATATGTAGACACAGTCTGCTAAAAAGGGACTCATCTGGTCCATGTTTTTTGTTCTTGGCACAGAGTCTCACTTGGTCTTGCCCAGGCTAGAGTACAGTGCTGTGATTTTTTTACTTACTGCAGCCTCCCACCTCCTGGGTTCAAGTGATTCTCCTGCCTCAGCCTCTGGAGTAGCTGGGATTATAGGCGTGTGCTATCATGTCCAGCTCATTTTTGTGTTTTTAGTAGAGATGGAGGTTTTCCCATGCTGGCCAGGCTGGTCTTGAATTCCTGACCTCAGGTGATCACCTGTGTCAGCATCAAAGTGCTAGGATTACAGCATGAGCCACGGTGCCCGGCCTGCTCCATGTTTATGGGAAGTGATAGGGTCTTAGATATTTTGGAGAGCACAAGTGGTTAAAAATAAAGCTACAGTTGAGCTTCATGTTCTTTGGTCAGTTACTTTTACACATACGTGTCAATCTTCTCTCTCAGTCTCCCCATGCACAAGATGATCAATACAGATCTCAGCAGAATCTTGAAAAGCCCAGAGATCCAAAGAGCCCTTCGAGCACCACGGTAAAGTGATTACTTAAGAGTGTATTTCTTGCCCCAACCCTATACAATTGGTTATTTCGAAAATTGGTGTGTATATAATGTAATATAATGTGTTGATACAGTATCTGCCTTTTTATAGCAAGAAGATTCATCGCAGAGTCCTAAAGAAGAACCCACTGAAAAACCTGAGAATCATGTTGAAGCTAAACCCATACGCGAAGACCATGCGCCGGAACACCATTCTCCGCCAGGCCAGGAATGTGAGTGATTTTTTTTTTTAACTGATACATTAAGTTCTTAGAAAGATTTGGTTCTTACTGTTCTTTACCTAATACATTGCAGCACAAGCGCCGGGTGGATAAGGCGGCCGCAGCAGCAGCAGCAGCACTAGAAGCCAAATCAGATGAGAAGGGGGTTGCAGGCAAGAAGCCTGTTGTAGTAAGTAAGAAAGGAAAGAAGGCTGCTGTTGGTGTTAAGAAGCAGAAGAAACCTCCAGTAGGAAAAAAGGCAGCAGCTACCAAGAAACCAGCCCCTGAAAAGAAGCCAGCAGAAAAGAAACCCCCTACAGAGGAAAAGAAGCCTGCTGTATAAACTCTTAAATTTGATTATTCCGTAAAGGTCAAATCATTTTGGACAGCTTCTTTTGAATAAAGACCTGATCAAACAGGCAGAGAAACACGGCTTGTTGGTGTGTTCTCTAAAGCTTGGTTAGAATTTTTTTTAAGAGACATTTTGTTGGCAATAACTTAGATTAGTTCATTTTATATAGTCTCTTATAAAATGGGGCATGGATTTATACTAAGTCCATGGAGTTGAATGGAAGGGGAATGATCAAAAACCTGATTTTCTAAATGTGGCTTGAAAAGTAGGTTTAACAGGACTTGGTCAGAAATGCACAGAGGCTGTTCAAGTTTAGCTCCCCACCAAATGAAAAATAGATTAAATTCTGTAAACATTTAACATTTTAACCACAAGAGGGCACAATTGGAGAACGGTTTTTTTGGTATTGGAGTAAAATTGATTACCTCTGAAAAGTCTTATTTTTAAACCAGCTTTGACAATAGAGTTGCTTGAATATTTTCACCCGTGGTTTGAAAAAGTGCCAGATGGCCACACTGGCTCACACCTGTAATCTCAGCACTTCGGGACCCTGAGGCAGGTGGATCATTTGAGGTCATGAGTTCAAAAGCAGCCTGGCCAACATGATGAATTATCATCTAAAAATATAAAACACGCCTGTAATCCCAGCTATTTGGGAGGTTGAGGCAGGAGAATCACTGAACCTAGAAGGTGGAGGTTGCAGTGAGCTAAGACTGCATTGCACTCTAGCTTTGGCAACAAAGACCGTATCAAAAGTACCAGAAGCATTTTTCAGGACTGCCTATGTATCTTGGTGAATATATTAGCTGTCCAAAAGAAATAACCATGATGCACGGTGGCTCACGCCTGTAAGCCCAATGCTTTGGAAGGTGGGTGGATCACGAAGTCAGCCTGCCCAACATGGCAAAACCCCGTCTCTACTAAAAATACAAAAAAATCACCAGGCATAGTGGTACATACCTATGATCCCAGCTACTCTGGAGACTGAGGCAGGAGAATCACTTGAACCCAGGATGCACAGGTGGTGGCAAGCGTAGATCACACCATTGCACTTCAGCCTGGCAGACAGAGCAAAAAACTAATTCTCAAAGAAATACCCATGAAATGCCTCCAGATATAAGGGTCTTTTTACTCATCAAGCTAAACTGCAGTTATTACCCTAGAATTAACCTTTTTGTCCTGTGTCAAGGCCTTGTTTTGCATCTGGATTGTTGAAGTAGCTTCCCTCTGCCAGTCTCAAAGTTCACAGTCAGGGTGATCTGTAATCCTCCCCATTTCCATGGCCAAATCTGTTCTTAAGCACGTAAAGGTGCCATTTCTCATTGCAATTTCCTACCACGGCTTTATTTTCCCGCTTTTTAGTTCTATTTTGTGCAGCCTTACCCCTTTAAAGTCCACTAGGAATCCTACCCTGCGGGGCCTCTTTTAACACAGTAGCGTTCAGGTGCCTGCCTTCACATCTGCAGAGTTTTTTTGGGGTTAAGATAGCCACTTATTGGAACACCAAATTGGGAGTGCTATTCACCAGGTCATTTGAAACGGTGTTTGACCACTTGGTGCGGAAATGGCCTATCGGATTAAAGGCTGTCGACAAAGTTTTGACACAAAGCCTGGACACCTACCTGCAGCTCGTCGCCTGCGGAGTAGCCAGGCCACAGCGAGCGCCGGAAGGGGGCGCACCCTTCGCCTTTCCCCGATATGGCCGGCAGCCCCGTTTCTCCGCTCGGTTTCCGGGAGTCGGCGGCGATGGCGTCATCACCGAGCGCCGGGCCTACGGCAGCGCGGAGGCCGGCTGTGTGAGCAGCAAACATGCTGAGCCGGCTTCAGGAACTCCGCAAAGAGGAGGAGACGCTGCTGCGGTTGAAGGCGGCCCTGCACGACCAGCTGAACCGCCTCAAGGTGACCCCGTGGCCCCCTCCTGACCCTCCTCCATTCCGCCCGAGCAAACCATTTCCCCCTAACCTGGGCTTCTGCCGTGCCCTCCTGCTGCGGCCAGTTCTCCCCTACTCACTAGCCGTGGTGGCACCCATATACAGGTTTACAAACAAACTTCGGGCATCTGAAGCACCTGGGGAGTTTGCTGTGCGCTTGTTAGGCCCCACCTCTCAGAATCTTGACCCCGCAGGTCTAGGCTGAGGCCCAGGGATCTGTGTTTGGTGAGTCCAGTCCTACCCGATTCTTTCCGTAAATGCTGATGGCCCTCAGACAACACGCTGAGGAAGGGCTCCCTTCCAAAGGCTCTCCTAGAACCCCCCCGGCCCACCGACCCCTTCCTTCTGAACTGCTGTTTTGGCTCTTGGAATGGCTCTAGTTTTGCAAAGCTAGGAGGGACTCCCAGATCCTCCCATGCTACCAAGGAAGACTGAGGCCCTGGGAGGAGAGATTTGTCCCAATGTCTGCAGCTCCCAGTAGCTCTTGTTACTGATGCCGTGGCCTTGAGGGGGAGTCGGGCAACCTCTGCCTTGTGGGTTCAAGCGAGTCTCGTGCTTCAGCTTTCCAAGTAGCTGGCATTACAGGCATGCACCACCACGCCCAGCTAATTTTTGCATTTTTAGTAGAGACAGGGTTTCGCCATGTTGCCCAGACTGGTCTCAAACTCCTGAGCTCTAGGAATCAGCCTTCCAAAGTGCTGAGATAACAGGCGTGAGCCACCGCGGCCAGCCTTACCAAAACTAAAATTAGCTGAGCGTGTTGGTGCACGCCTGTAGTCCAGCTACTCGGGAAACAGGTGGGAGGATGACCTGAGCCCAGGAGTCAACGCTGCGGAGATCTGAGATTGTGCCACTGGACTCCAGCCTAGGCTATAAGGGGAGACCCTGCCTTTAAAAAAAAAAAAGGTTCCCTGGAAGGTAATCATGCTAATCCCCGCTCAGCTTCCTTTTTCAGAATTTTTTCTTTTTTTTTTTTTTTTTTGAGACAGAGTTTCTCGCTCTTGTTACCCAGGCTGGAGTGCAATGGCGCGATCTCGGCTCACTGCAACCTCCCCCTCCCAGGTTCAAGCGATTCTCCTGCCTCAGCCTCCTGAGTAGCTAGGATTACGGGTGTCCACCACCAGGCCCAGCTAATTTTTAGTACAAACGTGTTTCATCATGTTGGCCAGGCTGATCGCCAACTCCTGACCTCAGGTGATCCATCCGCCTAGGCCTCCCAAAGTGCTGGGATTACAGGCATGAGCCAGCACACCTGCCCCTTTTTCAGAAACTTGAAGTCCATATGAGGTTAAGATTGCCAAAGCCCTTTGTAAACTGAAAAGTATGCACCTGTGATATCAAAATCATAGCATTTTTCCTTAGGGAAGTTATAATGCCCTCCACTTATTTGTGTCTCTGTATTGCCACAATACAGTACCTAATGAGTGTATTGAGGACCACCTCCAAAGTCCGGATTTCCTTATGCTTCAGGAAACGCCTGTTTTCTGTTCTTTCCTCCACATCTCATTACTGAATAACAGGCTCAGGTCCAGGGAATCACTCTGAAGAGTCAGGTGACACCTGTCTGTTTTAATGACACACTTGTACTTTCTGAGTTGCTAGGTCTAGGGAAGCGGAAGCCATGGCTCAGCCAGAACACCTGTTCAGCCCAGGGGAAAGGGGCTGGAGCCTTTCTTTGCTCATCTCTGAAAGACAGAAAATCTAAGCGCCTACCCTGCAGTTTTCCCTCTAGAGCAACAGATAGTTTTCATTCCCTCTTGATGCAAATCTTTTATGGTATGCCCAGCTGTTTACCCACATCAGTAGCCCAGTGAAATAGTAAGGAAAGTGACCTCAACTCTTCTTTTCTAGGTTGAAGAATTAGCCCTCCAATCAATGATCAGTTCTAGAAGAGGGGATGAGATGCTGTCTTCTCAAACTGTACCTGAACAGTCACATGATGTAAGCGTAATCAAGTGCAGGCCTAGGAGGGAATGCAATGCCCCTATGCTGCTTGGGTGGTGAAGAACTGATGTAAAACATATTGCTTAGCCCAAAGGACTCTGGGAAGTGCTGATAAGAATTTTGTCTTAATAAGGTAGCAACTATACATTACTCACCTTCCTTCCAGCTGGTTATACTCTAATTTATTAAGTAGTTACTATTGTTTTACCTCCGTCCTCCTCATCCATTCTATCTAGTTACTCAGAAGAACCCAGGAAAAGTGTGGATCTTTTGTAGGAATATGTCAAAACTCTTGCTCTTTTGTGAATAAGTAACTTTGGGATTCAAGAGTGTCACTTCAACTACAAAGCACAGTGCTAAAAGATGAGTTCCAGTCCTTATCATACTCATCTCCTACCAAATGCCTTCAAGTCAGTCAGCAAAATCATATTTTTGTTTGTTTTCGAGACGAAGTCTCGCTCTGTCACCAGGCTAGAGTGCCGAAGTGCTGTGGTGCAATCTTGGCTCAGTGCAACCTCGGACTCACGGTTTCAAGCGATTCTCCTGCCACAGCCTCCCAAATAGCTGGGATTACAGGTGCACGCCACCACACCTAGCTAATTTTTGTATTTTTAGTAGAGATGGGGTTTCAACATGTTGACCAGGATGGTCTTGATCTCCTGCCCTTGTGGTCTGCCTGCCTCAGCCTCCCAAAGTGCTGGGATTACAGGTGTGAGCCAGCAAAATCGTATTTTTTTTTTTAAGTCAAATCTGTGAGTTCAGCAAAATCTTATTTCTAAGTATACAATATTTAAAATTCTCTCAGATTTTATGTGTTAAGACATCTGAAACCATGATACAGCAGCGTATGTAAGTTGGCACAATTCTTATGGACCTTTCTGTAATATAATGTTTGTAAATGAGGTAACATTCTAGTAAATCTGAGGTATTTACTTTTGCCCCATTTTGGTAATGGAGGTGGGGGTAGCAAAGGAAAGTGGCCATACCTCTTAGTCATAAGTACTGGGGATACATAGGAAATTGAGATTTGATTTTAAAACATTTTTAAGAATTTGCTGTTTAGAGGCCAGCATCTTTCCTACTAATCTGTGATGCTCTTGGTTAATACAGATGTTGGTGCATGTAGACAATGAAGCATCAATCAACCAAACGACACTGGAGTTGAGCACAAAGAGTCATGTGACAGAAGAGGAGGAGGAGGAAGAGGAAGAAGAATCAGATTCCTAAAGGAGGGGAAAAACCAGGGTCAGTTACACAAATTGCATTTCTAAGTCTCAGGCTACTTCTCCTCAAGGAAATCATCTTGCCATGGGCCCTGTGGCCTCCTTGAAAGGAAAGCAAGAACTGTAAGAAGGATGTATAGTTGCAAAAATAGTTCCATCAGTAACTCAAGCTTCAGAATGTTATGACATGCAGAAAATCAAAGATGCTTTGTCAGCATTGAGCAATATGGATGGAGCTGTCTGTGATCGGATCAGATTCAGTAACTGTTGAAAACAAAATTTGCTCTCAAATACTGTTGAGAAAGTCTGGCATTTACAAAAAGGGTAGTTTAAATACAAGCCACCCTTTCTATCCAACAATGCCTCTTTTAAGAAAATTAAAGGCTGTTTGCGCATGCCGCTGAACCCGTGATCAGTTAGGCCTAGGTCTAGGACAAAAAGATGACCAGGGGAAGGTCTGAGGGCCATCTGAGAGCACAAGCTGTTGCTCCCCGTCAGAGGCACTGAAATGCTGCATGCTATAAACTGCTTTGTGGCCAGGCTCAGTGGCTCATGCCTGTAATCCCAGCACTTTGGGAGGCCGAGGCAGGTGGATCACAGGGTCAGGAGATCAACACCATCCTGGCTAACACAGTGAAACCCCGTCTCTAAAAATAAACTGCTTTGTGTAGCTGCTATCACCTCTCACTTGAGACATCACTGGTAAAATATTTTTATAAATAAATTATAAATAGCCATCATGGAGCCTGCTGGTTTCTAGATAGTAACAGAGAGAAGCAGCAGTTGCTTCTCTGAGGAAAAGCTACAATAGGATGGGCTGGGCGTGGTGGCTCACGCCTGTAATCCAAGCACGTTGGAGGCCAAGGTGGGTGGATCACCTGAGGTCGGGAGTTCAAGACCAGCCTGACCAACATGGTGAAACCCCATCTTTAAAAATAAAATAAAATAAAAAGATATAACAGGATGGTTTGAAATCCATTTATGGCCCTTAGAGAGATGTGCCATGCTTGGAAGATTAAATTTTTATAATGGATGACAGCTACAGAATAAGAATTGTTACTTAGTATCTGAAGTTGAAGTTCTTTTCTGCATATTATCCCTTTTCCACTGACTACTATGCAGTGAAATAAGTAGTTGCTTAATTTTATAAAACTAATTTCCCCTGTCCAAACAACAGTAAAAGCCAAACAAAATTACAAAGAATTTTCTCAAGTCGAACTTACCTAACAGTTCCCAAAGAATACTTTTGTTAACGTTACATTGAAATTATTTTGAGCTGCTTTTAGAGGCAACAGCCAGAAGTTTAAATGAGTATGTTCCTTAGAACACACAATGGGAAGACAGTTTGGGAAGAAAAAGCATCAAGGTATATCAATCTTGGGGGTCTTATTTAAAATGGGTTTTAAAAGCTGGAAAAGTTGACTGAATTCCAGCTCTACCACTGACTGGTCACTTTCCCATCTGTAAGGTGAAGATTCTCATATCTCCTTTAGCAACATCTGTTGCTATGAGGTGCTAATGAGATAATTCAAAAATCCAATTATCAATGGTGTCTCAGTAAGAATTCAGCACTGGGAGCTCAAAACACTACAAGACTAATTCGGGGAACATCATTCTTGATTTAAAAAAAAAAATCTAAACACCCCTCAAAAGACACTAAGCATGAAAGTGGTCAGATCTGGGTTTTAGATACCAAGTTATAACATTTCTCCTAAGGATAGAATATGTTCACTTTAATGAGACATTCTCAGTAGTGGTCGTATCCTGTCATTTGTAAAAGACACAGGGTGTAAATGTTAAAACCCAGCCTGAATGTTTGTTTATATGCTGAAAATGCATAAATTAAACTGCTGACTAGAAAACTGTACCTCACAGTGAGAAAAAATAACTAGCTTAGGCAGGAGTATATACAACACTGATCCTTTTTTTAAAATCCTGGCAATATCCCAAGCTCTGGTACCTCTAGATTGGAACTACCTATTTAGAAGATTACTTACCCAAGTTTGTTTTTAATCCAAAAAGGAATGGGCCTTTTATCTTTAAATATGTATGTTGGCTTTGGTATTCTATCACCTGCCCTTTCAAAGAAAATACTGAGGGGAAGGTATTGACCAGGCAGCTTCAAATGTACCTAAAATTTCCCAAAGACTTTTCAAATAAGGAAAGGCTCCTATGGTCAGTGGTCCATGGCTTAGGGACGTCACTGCCACCTCACAGGCACGACAAAGTCAGTGACAGGTACCTTCCTCCTTTCCAGGAAGACCTAGTTAAGTGTAAGTGGTGAAAAAAGGGAAAGCATTGCTGAATGTGGAAGCAGATGGACTGTCCTGTCTGGTGCAGAAAGCTCCCACACTGGGTAGGAAGCTGGTCAACAGCAAGGCCCTACTGTGAGCATGACAGCCTGGAAGTGCAGGCAGGAATATAGAAAATGAGAAATGTTCTGTGAGATAAGAAATGTTTTGTGATTTTACTCAGATTTGTTCCCAACCTCCCATCTGCTGCTTTTCCCTTGTATAAAGACATCAAAGGAATACACAGGATCTATTCACAGTCCCACAGGAAGGTGGTTAGAAGAATAACAGATAAGGGTATTGGGTGAGAAGAGTTGGACTGAGTCCAGAGATTGAAATTACGGGAAGCCCCGTTAGTCCAAAGCACTGAACTTGATGTGTTTTTTCTGCCTTCCAGCCTCCTTATCTTCAGCTTTCCCCCTCACCAATAATGCTTAGCTAAACCAGTATTTCTTACGTACTAAAGAAATTGAAAAGCTCACCACAAAAGCAAAAATAGCGTTCATCCTTTACCTTCATAGTATATTTATTAGAATAAGAGATTCGATTTGTTAAACATCTAGGTTAAAATGGTTAAAAGGATTTTCATACAATTTTAGGCACTATACACATTGTTTACAAGAGCATTGGTACTTGGATATGGGGAAAGATAAATCTGACATTTTAATGCCTTGATCAGTTTGAAACAATCAAAATAATTCCACCATTTAAGAAACATTAATCAAAACTTAAAGAGACATACCACTAAGTATCCCACACAGTATATTGAAAATAAATAGAGAAATACAACCAGAAGTCTACAGATCATCACAGTAGACAGACTGGTGAAACCCCAGCTATCATGGCAGTGAAGGGCTCTGGCTAGATTTGGATGTAAACTGCTGAGTTCTACATGAAAAGCAAATAATAATAAAATAACATGATGTACACTTTCTGGTGCTCATTTTCATAGCAGCAAAGCATGCTTCACATGCACTGCCTGTGAAGGATCTCACAAGGCTCCCTCCTACTCAAACAGAGAGAAAGTATGCCCAGCAAGAATAAAGTACCACCAAATGTCAAAGAATCCCGAAAATACAGGCAGACAGCCAGTCATGGAGCAGGAACAGCAGTGCAATTGTAAGAATGACTACCCACGGTCACCAAAATTTCACTGTAATTCAGCCTGGCACGTGTTTGGATCATCAATATACACACAAATAGCCCCAAGCACAAAGCCAATCCACTTAGGGGAACAATAATAGTAATAAGAATAAAGACAGTAATATCAAAAATGACAAGAGTAGAATCTTGGCACATGCTGTGTTCTTCATCCTTTGTCACAGGTGAAATGCACATCTGAACAGAGACAGGCATGGGAAGGAGGCCCAAAAGCAACATGGCAAACCACTGGGCAGGGGACTCGCTCTTTGCTGCTTCCCAAACACTTAGACGCCAGCAGCATGGGTTGGTGTGCTGGGCTGGTTAAGGCCAATGGTGGAGCAGAGCCAACCTGCAAAATCCACTTCCTCAGCATCAGATCTCTTGATAAAAGCATGAACCTACATGTAAGGAAACAAGAAAAAGTGGTGTTTAAAAAAAAAACCACCAGGAAGGAAACTCCAAGAGTTTCAGGTCTAGAGCTTGTGCTGCACTTGGAAGGAGCACCTGGTACCTGCCCCTGAGCAGCGGTGGGGGCAGGTGCAGGCCCAAACACCCCCTCCACCAGTCACAGCAGCTATAAGGCCTTGGGCAAGTCACTTCCCAGAGAGCCTGCTCTTGCAGTGTGGAGACAGTAACTGCCTTAAATGCCTCGCAGGCTTGTAAGAAGGGACAAAGAAAATGATGGACTTAGTGCATATTATAGTACATACACTGTCTATAGCTGTCCAGATATTCACAGAATTACTTAGCTATTCCCACTGCCACCAAACAAGAGACAGTAGGCAGAGTGTGACTCAGGAAGGAGACTGAATGTAAGGTAAAGCAGTCAGTATCAGGAAAAGGCCCCATCCCCATGAAAGAGATGGGCTGACCTTTTCTTTCCCTTGGCCCCCCTCAGGCCCTTCCTGTGGCATGCTTATTCAGGCTGCAGGGTCACCCCAGCTTTCCCTTAAACTGAGAGGAGGGCAGAGGAGACTCATGTTTGGTATTCTGCAGCCTCCGGCTCAGCTGGACCACAGTGGGCAGGGAATGAATGGGCTCTGGAAGTGCACAGATGACTGACAGAGAAGAAGAACAAATGAACAAATGGGTACTGTAAGAATCTGAATAAATGGACTCACCATGAGTTGCTTCAAATCTGCTCTCTCTGCAGGGTTTTTTATTAAGCTTAAAGGAAGAAAGATAAGGTGAGAGCAGAGTTAAACTAAGGTCAAAAAGCAATGTGCTAATCCCTGGAGAGCAAGTATCAAAAGCAGCAGCTACTAGATCCATGATGTAGTTCGACATGTCACATAAATCTTGCCTCTCTAAAAGAAAGAGCTTGTGGCAGCAACCAAGGATCATCGGAGGGGAGGGGAAAGGGCAAAACTGTGCCTGCAGAGGCAGAGCTGGTGCTTCCAGAAATGGGGTGGGGAGCTTGACAAATCCAGAGTACCCTTCCAGAGAACAAGGAGCCAACTTACCATTTATTCACAAAATCTTGAAATTCCAGGCTGAATACTCCACTGGGCAGTTTTGGAGGAGGCTGCAAACACATGTTGAGATAAGAAAAATGCCTGGCTCTTTGCTCCAGCCATCTTCTCTCCCCATCCATCTCCTCTCCCCATCCCACCCCTCCCTCCAGCCAGTGCTCCTTTTTTTTTTTTTTTTTTTTTAAGTCTTCTCTGCAGTCCAAAGGCAATGCCACTCTCATCCAGTCAAGGGAAGGCCAGTGGCTGCCTGTTGGGTAACCACGTTGGAACCACTGGTCTCAAATAGCACAGAACTAGGACTGAGTCAAGTCTACTCACTTGTCTGGTGATTTTGAACTAATCACTATTCCTCTCTGAGCCTATTTACTTTTCGATGACATGAAGGGGTTGGGACTAATGATCTCAGGGACCCTTTCAAGCTCTGACATTACAATGGTAGATCTTGGAGTGCAGCATGGAAATGTAACCAGCAATTTACTAGCAGCAACAGCTAGGGGCACGTGCAAACCACCGGGCACCCCAGGTCTGACAGCACTTACAGGAGCAAACTGGATTAAAAATTTCTTTCCTGAGCCCTAGAGAGGCAGTGAAAAGTTAATAAAACACTAACTGACAGAGAGCTGGATCTGGAAGAATGTTACCTGTACACTCCAGGAATGAGGCTGTTTTCAGATTTTCCCATGGTGATCCTGCAGCACTACAGAGAACAAAGCCCCAGAGCACTAGGCTCACGTGTTCCACGCAGTCCAGGAAATGTGAGCCCACTCACATACCTGGGCTGGGAGCTGTTTGCAGCTTCTTTGGGAGACACTGGCCCACAGACATCATATCCGTGATGTCACGGCTCTGATGCACAGCCCCAAATCTCATTTCTAATTTGAGACTAAAAATGAAACACTGATATACCACCACCACAAAGCCCAATCTAGTGCTCTGCCTCTGAGGGCTGTGTCAGTCTGATCTGAGGTGAGGACTAGAATCCAGCTCTTAGAACGGTGACCCAGAGCAAGCCCTACCGCAGACTGTCCCTGTTGCTGAGGGGATGAAGGGACCATTCGAGGGAGAGAGGCAGCATCCATTCCTTCTGAGTAGGAGAGAGCTAGGCAGCAGAGGGGCTGTGTGCCGGCAGAGGCTAAGGCCGACCCACTACCATGCAGCCAAGCCTCCTAGGAGGCAGGAATGGGAGGTGGAAGGTAGGAGGTGGTGAGAAAAAAAAGCCCTGGGTGGGAAGGACCTGGATTACTTTTCATCTTAGAGGCTTAATTTCCTCACCTGTTTGAAGAGGAATCAATTTGGCCTACCTCAGTAATACTTGGGAGAATTGAGTAGGAAATTAATGTGAAAATTTAGAAGAAAGCAGTGCCCATTAGGAGACTGGCAATGACATAGCTAACCTCAGATATGAACAGTACCCCAGAACCACCCAGCTTAGGTACCCAGCAGTAGAGGATGGATGGCTTTTTTTCTGACTCTACAAATCCTTAAGCAGCAAGGATCTGATCCTGAAACTGTGAAACCACTTTTCTACAGCCCATGGTGCTTAGTATAAAGCTGTGCTGTCTAGTAAAGAGAGGTAAATTAAACTCCCTAGTAGATTGAACCTGTGACAGGGATTTTTTAGTTGTTGGGTTGTTTTCATTCCTGCCCCCTCTCCCAGAACCAGGGTCTCACTGTTGTTCAGGCTGGAGTGCAGTGGTGTGATCTTGCCTTACTGCAACCTCCACCTCCTGCATAGTGTTTTTAATGGCATTTAAAAGTAAAAACGCTATACCACGGTTATCAACGCATTTGCTTTGCCTCCTCTACACAATCTCATAGTCTTTGAGACTAAGGAATTGTTTTTCCATCATTGGATCCCTGCCCCACTTCTACCTACAGTGCTTAACACACTGAAAGTGGAAAAGGGGGGGGGGCTTGGCAAATTCAAATAATAATGTAAATGGGCAAGCTGGAGGCTCCGGAATATTGGAGAGGAAAAGGAACTCCGTCCTATCTGAAGATGTCCCCTAGGGAAGAAACTCCTGCAGTCTGTAAACCAGCCACTCAATTCCAACACCATGGTGCATGAACAGAACATGAGAATCTTGAAGCCCACGTTATAGGAATAGCAAACTGGATTTCCAGTCAACTCAGCCATGGGTTTTTCTTTTTTTTTTTTTTTTTGAGACAGAGTTTCCAGGCTGAAGTGCAGTGGTGCGATCTCAGCTCACTACAACCTCCGCCTCCAGGGTTCAAGAGATTCTCCTACCTCAGCCTCCTGAGTAGCTGGGATTACAGGTGCGCACCACCATGCCCGGCTAATTTTGTATTTTTAGTAGAGATGGGGTTTCACCATGTTAGCCAGGCTGGTCTCAAACTCCTGTACTCATGTAATCCACCCGCCTCAACCTCCCAAAGTGCTGGGATTACAGGCGTGAGCCACTGTACCTGGCCAGCCACTGGTGTTTTCTTAAAATAAGCAAATAAAATTCCAAGGTCAAGGAAACCAGGCACTACTTACCTCATTGACTATGTAATCCAACAACTCAAAAATTGCCATGGGAGGTCGGCTGTCCATTCCATATGCTACAAATTTTATAAAAAGAAAAAATACTTCTCAGAAACAGGAGATTACTTGTTAATATGAGGCAAGGGGTTGGGCATGGATCCCTAGGGCCAGAACAGGGTCATGGACAATAAACAGATTAAACAGCCACAGGTAAGGCTTGAACAGAGAGGGGACCAGCAAAGGCCAGGGTACAAGTCTGGGCTCTGCCACATCTTAAGTTTGTAACCTTTGGCAAATCAGTTCACTGCTGAGCCAAAGTTCTGAGTTTTGTAAAGCACAGGCATCATAATTTTGTCTGTCTTTTCCCTCCTCCTCCTGTTGAGAGAGAAGCAAATGAGAGAGCAGCTAAATAACTAAAGACCTTAATTTTAATTCTCCATGAACCTGCGTTTCTTCCTTTTGTCTCCTAGAATCATAGGCCAGCCTCAGAGGCCACAGCCACCAGGCCCTCCAATGACCTGTGAACAAGCTACCCCTAGCCCCCTCTGCTTTCCCCTTCATACAAGCTCTCTCTCATGTGGACCTCACAGAGGTAAAGGCAGGTATCCCTACCCAGACAGGAGCTACATAAAAAACAGATGGCTGGGTCAGGCTATTCCCTGAGTACCAGGCTTAGTTCCCATTATTCACGTTCAGCGAGGCAGGTGGTTCTGCACAGCGTTTATCATCCTGGGAGTCAGACTTGGCTACTTACAAGCCTATGTAGCCTTGACAAGTGCACTGTGCCTCAGTTTCCTCATCTTTAAAATGGAGATTATAATCATGT